AACATTTCCTATGCAAATAAAGTCGGAGCAGGCCACAGAGAGCGTGATCCGTTCCCGGTGTTTACAATGGCGCCTCAACGCCACAGCCGTTATCGAGATGCTCCGAGATTAGTTGCGCGGGGCTGTTTTGCATATGAAAGTGGAAGGTGCTCGGCGCACGGAAGGGGCGCCCCACCCGCACACTGACTTCCATTGTCCCAGGATTTGCATTGAATAATTATCTCCACTTCGGGGGTGTTTTTCGCCGCCTGCTCGGCCGATCGCGCAGATAGCGAGCTCCATAGTTGCCGCTTGTTTGTTCAATTCATGAATCTTATTTATGTTCCCGGGGTAAAGGGGACGGGGTCACGCCACCGTGAGGCTAGCCAATTCTTTGTTGTCACCTAGAGCGTAAAGCAGAACTCCAGGCAGACGGCTAAATATATTTAGGTGAACAGCTTCAAGCACTTCCTGCCCTGTTTAGCCAGGAAGGTGACACCAATACTTTCATCTTTAGCTTTGCTGCTTCCTGTGTCAGGCAGGCAACAGCTGAAGAAGGAGATGGTGGTGTCACCTTCTTGGGGTGTCCTCCTGTCTGGAATTCACCCGGACAGTCCGGTTTTTGAGTCTTGTGTCCGAGTTTCCAGCAAGCTGACACAAGACACTAAGTGCTGATGCCGGCACTTTACATTTTTTAACAGATGCGTCTGCCCAGGTCCCCAGCAAGCGCGGACGTCAGGCAGCCGCATCTGTATCTTCCTGTGAGCTGCAGGCGCCTGTAAACAGGCACAGGCCTGCCCCCACATCTCCTCCTCCGTCTTTCTGAAAGCACGCTGCCCGCCTCTGGACCCTAGGTGAGACAGCACACACAGCACTCCTGAGAGCTTTCATAGCCCACCTGAGACCCTACACAACCACCTGAGAGCCTGCATAGTCCACCTGAGAGCGCGCAAAGCCCACCTGAGAGCCCGCGCAGCATTCCTTAGAGCTCGCATTGCCCATCTGAGAATCCGCATAGCCACCGTAAGAGCCTGCACAGCCCACCTGAGACTCCACCTGAGACCCCACATAGCCCGCCTGAGAGTGTGCATAGCCCACCTGAGAGCCCGCACAGCGCACCTGAGAGCGTGATATATAGATATGTACATGTGCACCCCAGCAGTATTGTCGGGTCTGCCTGGGTTCTTCCCTGCTAGACTACAGAAACCCCCCCTTTCTTATCTCCATAACATATGGGGGGAAGCATTTTTCCTTTTTGGGAAGATTTCTCCTTACATCCTGTCTAGGTGTCAGACAAAACAGGAAGTCAGGGAAATCAGCCCAAATGAGTCAGAGACAACATTAAAAACCCAATGGAGGATCAAAGCCCCTTCCATTGTATGGCAGGGGAGCTCCTTACAGCCCCCGTGACCATTTAACATTTCCTATGCAAATAAAGTCGGAGCAGGCCACAGAGAGCGTGATCCGTTCCCGGTGTTTACAATGGCGCCTCAACGCCACAGCCGTTATCGAGATGCTCCGAGATTAGTTGCGCGGGGCTGTTTTGCATATGAAAGTGGAAGGTGCTCGGCGCACGGAAGGGGCGCCCCACCCGCACACTGACTTCCATTGTCCCAGGATTTGCATTGAATAATTATCTCCACTTCGGGGGTGTTTTTCGCCGCCTGCTCGGCCGATCGCGCAGATAGCGAGCTCCATAGTTGCCGCTTGTTTGTTCAATTCATGAATCTTATTTATGTTCCCGGGGTAAAGGGGACGGGGTCACGCCACCGTGAGGCTAGCCAATTCTTTGTTGTCACCTAGAGCGTAAAGCAGAACTCCAGGCAGACGGCTAAATATATTTAGGTGAACAGCTTCAAGCACTTCCTGCCCTGTTCAGCCAGGAAGGTGACACCAATACTTTCATCTTTAGCTTTGCTGCTTCCTGTGTCAGGCAGGCAACAGCTGAAGAAGGAGATGGTGGTGTCACCTTCTTGGGGTGTCCTCCTGTCTGGAATTCACCCGGACAGTCCGGTTTTTGAGTCTTGTGTCCGAGTTTCCAGCAAGCTGACACAAGACACTAAGTGCTGATGCCGGCACTTTACATTTTTTAACAGATGCGTCTGCCCAGGTCCCCAGCAAGCGCGGACGTCAGGCAGCCGCATCTGTATCTTCCTGTGAGCTGCAGGCGCCTGTAAACAGGCACAGGCCTGCCCCCACATCTCCTCCTCCGTCTTTCTGAAAGCACGCTGCCCGCCTCTGGACCCTAGGTGAGACAGCACACACAGCACTCCTGAGAGCTTTCATAGCCCACCTGAGACCCTACACAACCACCTGAGAGCCTGCATAGTCCACCTGAGAGCGCGCAAAGCCCACCTGAGAGCCCGCGCAGCATTCCTTAGAGCTCGCATTGCCCATCTGAGAATCCGCATAGCCACCGTAAGAGCCTGCACAGCCCACCTGAGACTCCACCTGAGACCCCACATAGCCCGCCTGAGAGTGTGCATAGCCCACCTGAGAGCCCGCACAGCGCACCTGAGAGCGTGATATATAGATATGTACATGTGCACCCCAGCAGTATTGTCGGGTCTGCCTGGGTTCTTCCCTGCTAGACTACAGAAACCCCCCCTTTCTTATCTCCATAACATATGGGGGGAAGCATTTTTCCTTTTTGGGAAGATTTCTCCTTACATCCTGTCTAGGTGTCAGACAAAACAGGAAGTCAGGGAAATCAGCCCAAATGAGTCAGAGACAACATTAAAAACCCAATGGAGGATCAAAGCCCCTCTATCCAACACTATATGAAAAATCTCTGGAGTTAGCCTTTAAGCCAGGGGTGGATGACACTGGCCCTCCAGCTGTGCTTTAACTACAAATCCCATCATGCCTCTGCTTCTGGGAGTCATGCCTGTAACTGTCTTAGTCTTGCAATGCCTCATGGGACTTCTAGTTCCACAACAGCTGGAGGGCCAGAGTTGCCCACCCCTGCTTTAAGGTTGAAGCATTAACAGTAAACTCTGATCAGACTGAATGTAACATGTCACCTTTTTGTCCTCCATGGTCCCTAAAGGAGTCCTCAGCCCAGGATCTTAACAAAGTCCGCGAGCGGATGACGAAGTTTATAGACGACACCGTTAGAGAGACGGCAGAGCCCTTTCTCTACGTGGATGAGGTAAGGAGCAGTAAGATTTAAAAGGGCCACGCTACCCAAAACAGGTCAGTCTGATCTGATCGGGGGAGGGTTCAGCAGTTAAAGCCCAACTGAAAGTTCACACTTTTTTTCCCTCTTTATAGCCCTATACCGCGATGCGTTAGGAATTTAGCCAAAATCCACTTCAATTGCCTTAAAATACTTTTTTTTTCCCTTAGCGGAAATGTGCTTCCTGTTCTTACCCTCCAGTGCTCTATCCTGGCAGAGCTGAGTAGCAGCCACACCCCTCATCACAAGTGTCCTCAAACAGGCTCAGAAATGCCTTAAAATACCTTTTCCTCTTCTGTTCTCACCCTCCAATGCTCTATACTGGCAGAGCTGAGTAACCGCTATACTGGCAGAGCTGAGTAGCAGCCACACCTCTCATCATAAGTGTCCTCACACAGACCCAAAAATAGTTAAAATACCCTTTACCACTTAGTGGAAATGTAATCTCTGTTCTCCCCCTCCTGTCACAATCTGGGATCAGGCTCAGAGTCCAGCAGCTGAAGCAGCAGGCAATTCGTAGTAGAACAGGCCGGGTTCGGTACACAAGCAGAGGGTAGTGGTGGAGGAGCAGGCAGAAGTGTAGTCAGTGAACAAGCCGAGTTCAGGAGCCAATGGTATCAGGTATGTAGCAGGAGATGGAGAGAGCAGTCGGTGAATCAGCAGACAAAGGTCGGTACACGGGTAGCAGTTTGAGCAGATTGTAGCACAGAAGGAGCAGGAAGCAAGATCAATGCAGGAGCACAATAATCTGGCAAACAGGAAGTGCAGAGGCGTGGCTTAAATAGGAAGTTCAAGGGAGGAGCAAGGAGGTCAGAGTTCAGCATCTGATTAGGTATAACTGAGGATACACAGGAGATCAGGCAAGGAGCTATCCAAGGTTCTTAGGTGGCTCAGCAGGTAGAACTACAGCCGAGGCTCTGGGTTCAGACCCAGTTCCTGACACCTCCAGTGCTCTGTGCTGGCAGAGCTGAGTAACAGCCACGCCTCTCATTGCAAGTGTCCTCACACAGACTTGTGTTGCATAAAAAGAGAGGGAGCATGTCTGACCAGGTGTAATGTCCTTGCCTGCCGCGAGCCGTATGCGTTCCAGCGTGGAACGCATCGGCCGCATCACGCAGGCCGCTTCCCTCTTGGAGGGGGAGCTTCTCTGCTCTCCACCATGGAACGCGGAAGTGACGTCACGGCCGAGTCACTTCCGGGTTCGCGGACTATTTAAAGGTACTGTGGACGCTATGGAAGCGTTCCACTATTGTGCTCGATGCCCTACACAAGCCAGGAGCTCCACGAACCACACACACCTCTGGACCTTGATCTACCTGACAACTAACTACTAGGAACCGCAAGTATTGGTAACAAGTGGGGGATTTGTACTTGCCCAGTTGAACTGTCTAACTACTAAAACCCTTGGCTAAAGAACCAGTACAGTATACTGTGACAATCTGCTCGCTTGTTCATTCCTGCTTGAACGTGTGTATATACCTTTATTCTGGATCAAGACTGTTACATAACCTCTGATTCTAACTCTCTGTGTACTGACCCGTTTAGTGCTGAGTTGTGTACACAATACTTTGTTCAAACTTCCCCACCTCACTTGTGGCAAATGATGCAAGAACCCCTCACTCTCCGTTAAGATTGAGAGAGACGCCTGGGGTTCAAGCCTGATTGCCATACCCAGCCTTCAATCACCTTCTCAAGTCCGCAGCTGTGATCCATTGCCCCGTCCCAGCAACAGGTGCATTACACCAGGTCTGTTAGAGTGCACTGGGCAGTGTGGTAGACCTCTGATGTCTTTTGGACTGCACAGGTATATTTAGACACACTGAGCAAAAGGCAATACCGGGAAAGAAGTGAAACCACAAAAATGGAGGCTATTAGTACAATGTCTGAAGATGTCTTTGACTTCAGTTGGCAATAACCTGCCCAGGTGCCCTTATAAGAGCCTGGCCCTTTCTGACTTCACTGGGGAAATCTTATTCTCCTTCCTTATGTCTTTAAATCTTTTCCAGTTCCTGACCTACTTATTTTCCAAAGAGAATACCATCTGGGATGAGAAATACGATGAGATTGCCGTCCAGAATATGAATAATCCTCTGTCGCATTACTGGATTGCTTCCTCGCACAACACGTGAGTAATGATGGGCTCTTAATCCTCTGGGCACCCCAGGTACATTGCATTGAAATGCATTGGGAGTACTTCAAAACATAAGAAGGGAACGCAAGAAAAAAATAAACTTTCCAGGGAGAAACATGGAGGCCGTCGTTCTGATAATGCCAGTTGTCTGTCTGCCATGCTCATCCTCTGGCTTCAACACTTTGAATCACGCTCAAAACATGTATGCACATAAGGGCCCCTGACTTTGCCAACGTGCTGATTCAGTGACTTAGAAAGTAATAAAGTCAGGGGACCAGTATAGCTGCCAGGTAACTAGCCTTCTCAGAAGGAATGGCAGCCACTGCATTTCTCTTAGAAAAAGTGTTACCCGATCCCTTAGTCATTCAATATGCCGATTTAAATTCTCAGGCATGGTGCCCTTTGCTGTGAGAATTCCTAAAACGTCGCAGCAGAGAAAAAGGGAATGCGTATCTGTGCGCACTTCTAGTTATCAGGCCCCTTTGTCAGACCAACACTGGCCTGCGGCCATTTTATTAGGCGTATATTGCACAGTGACAGCTCACACCTGACATGCTGCTACTATGCAGAGAGCAAGCTATAGCACAGGGGTGGGCAACTCTGGCTCTCCAGCTGTTCTTTAACTATAAATCTCAACATGCCTATGCCCCTGGGAGTTATGCCTGTAAAGGTGCCCATACACCTTACGAATATCGGCTGATTTTCGTTTGGGAACGCGTTTTCGGCCGATAGTCGTAAGGTTGATGGGGAGTCTACAACCGCAAATACCGTACAATCGTACAACGTTCGTCTTTCCAGCATGCTAGAAACTTTCGGTCGATGGTACGATTTTCACAAGGTAATGGCGTTTCTCTATGTCAAAATTCATACGATTAACACTGCTCATGCGCAAATGAAAATCCGTGCGGTTGATTAACGATATTCGTCCAGGTGATATCTGCTAAAGACCGCTAATTGAACTGTGCGATGGTCGGGGCAGGATGGGGCCGCTGTACAAAAATCGTTCGACGGTTTGATCATTGGACGAAAAATGTTTGGCCGATGATTGCAAGGTCTATGGGCACCTTAACTGTCAGTCTTGCAAGGCCTCATGGGAGTTGTAGTTCCACAACAGCTGGCGGGCTGGATTTGCTTACTGAATCGCTTCTTATCCTCTCTCCCCCCGTGATCAGAAAGTGATCATCAGATCATCAGATTTTTCATCAGAAAAATCTGCAAAGTTATAATATTTATACCAGGGGTAGACAACCTCAGCACTCCAGCTGTAGGGAAACTGCAAATGCCTCTGGCTCTGGGAGTCATGCAATGTCTTATGGGACTTGTATAACAACTGGAATGCCGAGGTTGCCTACTCGTGATTTAGACTCTTCTGCTCTATAATTTTAGATGCGACTGGTTCTCTTTAGCTATGGTGGGATGATTACCCCACCAGTGAGCCTGAAACATATCAGAAAGCCAATGGCTGATCCATCTCACTGGCTTCTGCCAAAACCCTGATGCATTAATTGGGCGTGGACTGACCCTTTAAATGACTATATAATAGGAGACTTTATAATAATGGAATTACAACCCCTCCGCACCTGGGACATACTTCTCAGCCATGACCCCTCTTCTGCTTCCTGTTTAGGTATCTAACGGGAGACCAGCTGCGCAGCGAGTCATCCACCGAAGCCTACGTGCGATGTCTGCGGATGGGATGCAGGTGTATTGAACGTAAGCATGAAATGAATTCATTGTTATTTAATAGGAAACTATGCAAATTGCGCTGTCACTCCATTTCTGGTCATTGTTACACAGCCAGCGGAGGTTCTGATAGACGTGACCTGACTTAAAGGAGGCCACCGGCCAGAATAAAAATTTGATGGTAGAAGAGTTTACATTCTGTAAAGTCTGTTTTATTCATAAATGGAAAATAGGATCAAATAAGATTTGAAACACGGCAATTTTATTTTAATTTCATTTTATATCAAATGAATAAAAATCCAGCAGGGATGATGGGAGCTCTTCATAAAGGGCACAACAGGTGTACAGACCCGGGAACTCAGCATAGGGATGGGGGGGGCTCCTCATAATAAGCACAGCAGGTGTACAGACTCAGGAACTCAGCATAGGGATGTTGGGGACCCCTCATAATGGGCACAGCAGGTGTACAGAGCCAGGAACTCAGCACAGGGATGGTGAAAAGCCCCTCATAATGGGCAAAGCCTATGTGCAGACCAAGGAACTCAGCACAGGGATGGTGGGAGACCCTAATGATGGGCACAGCAGGTGTACAAACCCAGAAACTCAGCACAGGGATGGTGGACGCCCCCTAATAATGGGAACAGGCAGTGTGCAGACCCAGGACAGGGATGTTGGGAACCCCTCATAACGGGCACAGTTGTGTACAGAGCCAGGAACTCAGCAGTAGAGCCCCTGAGAGATAGCCAAGACTGTCAGGTGGTTTAACACTCCAGTATCTACACAAGTGGAAGTTTTTAAAATCAGGGAGTCAGTTAATCACCACTTAACTGAGAAAACACATTTTGCAGCCAAAGTCATCTGTGGAATCTCTACACGTAGCGAGGGAGCCCTTGCTGTAGTAGATGATGCTCTGAGCTTATCTAAGGGTAATGGTTTTCTCTCTCTCCTCTCTCCAGTGGACTGCTGGGACGGTCCTGACGGAAAGCCAATTATCTATCACGGATGGACAAGAACAACGAAAATTAAATTTGAGGACGTGGTGCAAGCTATTAAGGATCACGCATTTGTCACCTCTGAGTGAGTCCGCGCTGTAACTCTTAAGTAACTGTGTGACCTTGGCGTGAACAAAAGAAAGGCCAGAACTAACCGCTATTTATTTTACCGCGTAGGCCAACCTAAATTATTTAGTTCTTTATGAGCTGAACCTGTCCATGGTGTATTTCACAGTCCATATAAATAGCAGGTGAAGAGGGGTCATCAAACTAAGGAAAATATATTTTACCGGCATCATAGAAAGGATTTTATTTACTTTATTGGTAGAGTGGTTGGGAAGCGGAATTTACGGCTGACAGCGCTGGTGATGGCGCATTCAGGGGAAAATATTAAACCTGGTTGGAATGGGAGTAATATTCAGTATGAAAGTATTATACATTTGAAAGGTTTATATTTCCCTCTAATTTAACTTCATTGGCTTTGAATCTACCACTTTGGTTTGTGTGTCAGGGGTCACCTTAAAGGGCTCATTCAGACAGGCATGCAAGACCGTAAAAAGACCTGATCCTGGAAGGGACGGTGTCGCAGCAGTTTGTGCTTCCCTATGGGAGGACACGGCTGCATGCAATTACACACGGTCACACACACACCCGAACCTGCACATCCGTGCGTGTCTGGGTGCCCGCAGTGTGCGCCCAAGTGCGGGCACCCTGACCCGCATGTATGTGCAAGCTTGGGTGTGCGTGTAACCACGTGTAATTGCATACAGCCACGTCTTCCCATTGGGAAGAACAGGCTGATGCGCACAATTACACACAGTACCTGTACCTTCCAGGATCGGGTCTTTTTATGGGCGTACACGTCCGTACAGCATCTGAATGAGGCCTAAGTTGAACTCCTTCCCTTCAGTCTTGCACAGTTGTACCGGCAACTCTCCTGGACAGAAATAGCTTATTCTGATTTCACTGAACACTGCTAACCCCAAAAATGGTAACACCCCCCAATCCCCCAGCCCCGCCCACCATGCGCGATCATGCAAACTCAAATGCACAGATTGGGTGTACACGTGTACTAAAACAATGATTGCACCATACATATTAGGTATCACCGTGCATGACGGAGTGAGAGAAATAGTACTAGGGTCATCATTCATTGTTAACCCTAAACTGATGAGCTGTAAAGGCATTTAAAGCATTGTGATGGGCAATTTTGGGAACCAAGACAGAAGGAACCTCCATCCGCTGGCGCCTGCAGTTGTATGTAAGCAAAGGGACAGGATGTAGTGACATCATTGACCTTATATAGCCACATGGCTATATTTGGGCAATGACCTTAATCTAATATGGCAGTGTGGCCATATAAGGTCAGTGACATCAGCAAAAGCATCCCGCCCCTTTGTTTATGTGCAGCTGTGGGGCAGGGAATGCGATGGCCTGCAGCTGATTGGGCGATTAGCCCCATGTAGCTTACAGATTCGGAGTAGCCCTTTTTTTTTTTGATCATGGAGTCCAAAACCTGTTACCCCACTATTGATCTGTGACATGTTGTCCAGACCTCCCCGTCAGTGCCCTATCTCTTGCCCAAATATATTATTATGTCTTATTCAGATACCCAGTCACACTCTCCATAGAGGAACACTGTAATGTGGAGCAGCAGAGGTACATGGCCAAGGTGTTCAAAGAGGTCCTCGGAGATCTTCTGCTAACCAAACCCATCGAAGCGAGTGCCGATCAACTGCCTTCACCCACACAGCTGAAAGAGAAGATTATCATTAAGGTAAAGCTGTACCAAAAGCACTAAGGGGATGTCTACTGTCTTAGTAGATGTGATAATGTTTATGTCACTCAAGCAAGGTTTACATCTACTTTAACAAACATGACTTTTGATTCTAGCACAAAAAGCTGGGGCCCAAAGGAGATTATGTCACAAACACAGATGACAGTAAAGAGGAAACCAAACTACAGGGGGAGCTCCATATGTGGGACCCTATAGATCAGGTAAGTTGCTTACATTCTCCTTATACTGAAATGCATGTTTGCTATTTGTCTTTTTGTTCATAATTTTAAAGATTGAGCACTTCTGTTTTCTTGTGTACGATACACAGCGCTTTAGCAAATGAAACCTTCATTCAGTTCAGCTGGTCATACACTGGTAGACACTGGTGCCATGGCTGTAAATGTGTGGCTGCCGGGCCAATGTGTCTACCAAAGCTGTAAATGTGAGGCCACTGGACCAAGGTGTCTACCATAGCTATAAATGGGTGGCCAGCTGGGCCAAGGTGCCTACATTAGCTGAAATAGTGTGGCCACATGTGTCAAGGTGTCTACCATAGCTGTGTCTACTATAGCTGTAAACAGGTGGCCACCTGGGCCAAGGTGTCTACCATAACTGCAAATAGGTGGCCACATGGGTCAAGGTGTCTACCATAGCTGTAAAGGGGTGGTCAACTGAGCAAAGTGTCTACCCTAGCTGTAAATGTGTGGCCATCTCAGCCAAGATGTATACCATAGCTGTAAATGGGTGGCCGCTGGGTCAGGCTGTCTACTATAGCTGTAAATGGGTGGCCGCCAGACCAAGGTGTCTTCCATAGCTGTAAATGGGTGGCCACCTGTGCCAAGTTGTCTACCATAGCTGTAAATGGGTGACCGCTAGGCCAATTTGTCTACCATAGCTGTAAATAGGTGGCTGCCTGGGCCAAGGTGTCTCCTCTAGTTGTAAATGGGTGGCCACCTGGCCCAATGTGTCTACCACAAGTGTAAATGTGTGGCTACTTGGGCCAAGGTGTCTACCATATCTGTAAATGGTTGGCCATCTGGGCCAAGGTGTCTACCATACCTGTAAATGGGTGGCCATCTGAGCCAAGATGTCTGCCATACCTGTACATTGGTGGCCTACCAGGCCAAGGTGTCTATCACAGCTGTAAATGGGAGGCGGCACTGGCTAAGGTGCCTGAGATTTCTTACACTAACAGGGCTTGCCTCCAACTGTTCACGCTTTTTTAACTATGCCTGTTTAACTGTTCCCCTTTAAATTGCACCCAAAGTTCAGTTCAGTGTAGCCACACCCACTTGGACAATGCCTTCATAATGATTTTATCTCTAGAACAATGTCGCCAACTTTGTTCAGGCATCATCCAGGGTCACCATCTACTTCTTGGACTAAAAGCTGGCTCAGAGACGACACAGTCATTTGTAAAAGTTTTTTTTTTAGTTCAGCTTTCCAAGAGTGAGGATTGGATTAAATGAATAAAAAGTCCGTCTGCCATTGGTCTAATCGTACAGCCGTGATCCCAAATCTTCTGCTAATAATACAAAATGATTAGAATTTGACTTTAAATGTGCAGTTGACATTTTTATTAATATATGACTATTTATTTCATTAAAGAAATGGTCTGTTCGTTACTGTGCCATAGCTGGTGATAAGCTTTCATATGGAGATGAAATTGAGCAGATTACAGAAGATTCTACACTGAAGGTAATAAATATGCCCTACCTGATTCTTTATGATCGACTTTTGTTTTGTAGCCACTAGATGGAGCCAAGGAACATAGGAATTGCTCCATCTGGTGGCAAGATCGATGTGCGAACGGCATTCACCCAGCTATACACTGGGCAGAATGGTTCTACACAGAGATGCACTGATACCGTTTTGTCTGTATCGAGTACGAGGACCAATATTTTTTTGTCAGTACAGAATACCGATACCGGAAGTCCCATTAAGGAAACCGGGTGGCATGTAATGACTCACCGCTTGGCTTCCTGATTAGCTAGGAAGCTGGCTCCATGCTCCCTCGTCATCAGGTGACGAGGAAGCATGGAGGCGGCTTTCTGGCCAATCAGGAAGCCGGGGGGCAGGTAATGACTTGCCTCCCGGCTTTCTGATTGGCCAGCTTCCTGACCAATCAGGAAGCCAGGCGGCGGGTCATTACACTTCACCTGGCTTCCTGATTGGCCGGGAAGCTGGCTCCATGCTCCCTCGTCACCAAGTGGTGAGGAAGCATGAAGCTGGCTTTCAGGCCAATCAGAAAGCCAGGCGGGTAATGACTCACCGCATGGCTTCCTGATTGGCCAGCTTTTCGACCAATCAGGAAGCCGGGCGGTGAGTCGTTACACTCCACCCGGCTTCCTGATTGGCCGGGAAGACGGCTCCATGCTTCTTGTCACCAAGTGATGAGGGAGCATGGAGCCAGCTTCCCGTACAATCAGGAAGCCGGGAGTCATGTAATGACTCACACCTGGCTTCCAGATACTGGAAGCTCTGGTATTAGGATAAGTAGCAGGAGCATTTGGGTGAGGATGAGTACTCGCCCAAATACTCAGTACCGACACCGATACTAGTATCGGTACATCCTTAATATATATTTACTGTGTATATATATATGTCTATAAAGATATATATAGATATAGATACACACATATATACATGAGGCTCTGTATTTGTGTATCAGTTAGTTCTATGTGGCTTTTGTTGTATCACTGAACCTTTTTTTCCCCTCTATGCACTCGCTCCATATCAATTCCCAGCGCCTTCACTTTTATTTACTTATCTGACACTGAGCCCCGGCGGAATTATGAAGGATATCAACTGTTACAATGTAGCAATGATCCAAATAAACACCGACGCTTTTAAGATTGCAAAAAGACATATTTACAGGGTATCAAACTGTTCCAGTGGAGCAGATAACCTCGGCGTGAAATGTATTTAGTGTCATCCTTCTCTTGTTCCCGTCCAAACCTGTAATTCTCTCTAATCAGCCCTTACTGTCTGAGACAGTATTTGTGGGCGAGATGCATTATCCTCAAAGCGCCGGACTGTGAGTTGTTTCGACGTTATAAATAAGTCCGCTAGTGCATTCCGTGGCCGTTTTTGTGAAAAGAACCCAGCGCGGGCGATGCGGAGGCTGTGCTTTGCTATATGGTCAATTTTTCTGTTCTGAATAGAGGGAATTCAAAACAAAAAAGGAAGAGGAAGGAAAATTCAATAAATAATTGAAAAGCGGTAAATCTGAACTCCGGACATAAAAATGTTCATTTAAATATATTCCTTGATAGCCACAAAGGTTATATATCTACATTGTGTGTGCCAAAATCCTTTGCAAGCCCAGATATTACCTTGTGAAAGTAGCAGTGACATCATCACTATGTTGCCCAGCCTGTGCAGAGAGCTGTGGGAGGGGTCCAGCAAGCCCCACCCACTGCAGGCTGCCTGCAGAGAACTACAGGAGGGGCGGAGACCAGACCAGTCACTCTGCACAGGGAGAGAGAGCTACAGTGAGCGGTCTTTTTTGCAGGAGGGGGCGCAGACAAGACCAGTCATCCTGCAAAAGGAGAGAGCAGCAGTGACTGGTCTTTATTACAGGAGGGGGTGGGGACCAGACCAGTCACTCTGCACAGGGAGAGAGAGCTACAGTGAGCGGTCTTTTTTGCAGGAGGGGGCGCAGACAAGACCGCTCATCCTGCACAATGAGAGAGAGCAGCATTGAGTGGTCTTTTTTGCAGGAGGGGGCGCAGACAAGACCAGTCACCCTGCAAAAGGAGAGAGCAGCAGTGACTGGTCTTTATTACAGGAGGGGGTGGGGACCAGACCAGTCGCTCTGCACAAGGAGAGAGGCCTGCAGTGACTGGAAGAGCTGAAATAAGCATTGATGCATGTGCCTTCCTTTGCTGGTCATGTGACTCAGGAAGTTCACACCCAGTGACCTTGTGAGGTACTGTTTGAATTCTGGCTGCAACTGATTACAGAGAGCTCAGATTAAGCTATACCAAGTGGACTCCGTGATTGCAGTCCAGTTGCAATGTCTTTTGGGTAGCAGCAGTACATCACATCACTGACTGTGTTCCCTTATTACCCAAGGCTGCTCTTTAAAGAGAACCTGTCAGGTCTCTAAATAAAATGGCAAATGTCTGCAGTGGGGGAGAAATTATACTCACCTCTACGGCACTCCATCTCCTGCTGTCCCTCTATTCCAGCCCTGTGGTCTGTCTCTTTGGCTTTCCGAACGTCTGGGAGTGTCGGGTCCCCCTAATCCCCCCCCTTCCATTCTGTGTGCGATGGTTCCTTCCTTTTGCTCTTGCATCACTGTTGACACCTGTAGTGACGTAGGGGTCGGGGAAAGGAACCACGGTGTTACATGGGGGAAGCAGGCATCTGAAGTGTCGAATGCCAAAAACATTGAGGGGGGCTGGAGCACTGGAACGGAGGGGAGATAAGAGACATGGTGGCCGAAGAAGTCAGTATACTGCCTCTTACATTGCAGGGTATTGCCATTTTATTTTAAGGCCTGACAGGTTCTCTTTAAAGTAAAAAGCCCCAGGAATTGTAAGAACTACCCCGGGGTTCAGTGCTCATTTTTTGTCTCGGTGCTCAAATAAAGAAGATATACTCACCTGATCCGTGGTCCCACCGGACTGCCAGACCGATCCCCACAGCCTCTTCTCTGCATGGCATGCTATAGCGATCATTGCACTTCTAAAATGATTGCTGTTATCTCAGCACTGCAAGACAAGACACAGAGAGCGCCTCCATCGCATAAAAACTTTTTAATTAACGAATAAAAAATGGTATAAAGGTACTCACAAAGGACGAATAAAAACAGGCATAAAAGGGTCAGAACGAAAAGGTGCATATCCACCGGCTGTTCGTCTTCCCTGGTAGTGAAGTGGTTTACGCGTTTCAGAGGTCAAGCCTCCTTCCTCAGAACCAATTGGTTGTTCTGAACCTGGTGAGAGCCGCCCCGTTATCGCCCTGCACTCCTGAACTCTCTTGAACCAAAATCTGCTGGCGCTGTTTTTGATTTTGTCTGTTATCTCAGCACTGTATAACGAGGAATGGCACACAAGCTGATTATCGCTGGGTCTCTTTACACTTTTTCCAGAAATGACATTAATTTAACTGCAAATTTTGTCTTTTCTTTCCCTCCACCCAACCCAGTCACTGCGAGAGCAACATCTGCAGGAGAAATGGTTCCACGGTCGGATGCACGAAGGCCGTTTCATGGCGGAGCGGCTGCTGCAGGAGTACTGCGCTGAGATGGGAGGCAAAGATGGCACGTTCCTAGTGCGAGAGAGCGAGTCCTACCGGGATGATTTTACTCTCTCCTTCTGCTTTGTTCTGCCTTTTTTTTGTCTGGTGACCCTCTTGCAGGAGGTCGGGGAGAGTCCAGCACTGCCGGATCCGCTCGTGTACAGATGGAGAGTATGTGAAGTATTACCTGACCGACAACTTAACCTTTGACAGTATTTATGAACTCATACAACACTACAGGGATGCCTCGCTGCGCTGTGCGGATTTCGAGTTGCGATTAACGGATGCCGTTCCGAACCCCAACCCGCACCTGTCCAAGGAGTAAGTCTTTACGTCAGGTTGTCGTGTCTCTAAGGCCGTGTCGGGTATCTTGACCACGTACACTAAAAGCCACTCCCTGCTGGTGTTTTATTCTGAATCATCGCCGTATGTTAGGAGTGGGCAACTCCGGCCCTCCAGCTGTTGTGGAACTACAAGTCCCATGAGGCATTGCAAGACTCTGACTGCCATAGGCATGACTTCCAGAGGCAGAGGCATGATGGGATTTACTGTACAAGCACAGCTGGAGAGCTGGAGTTGCTCACCCCTGCAATAGAGCAAAGGTAGCCAAACTTCAGCCCTCCAGCTCTGGTGAGGGTAGGCCAGGGGTGGGCAACCTCACACCTCCAGCTCTGGTGGAACTACAAATCCCATGAGGCATTGCAAGACTTTGACAGCCACAGGCAGGACTCCCAAAGGCAGAGGCATGATGGATGTGTAGTTAAAGCAATAGAGCAAGGGTAGCCAAACTTCAGCCCTCTGGCTCTGGTGAGGGTAGGCCAGGGGTGGGCAACCTCACACCTCCAGCTCTGGTGGAACTACAAATCCCATGAGGCATTGCACGACTTTGATAGCCATAGGCATGAATTCCAGAGGCAGATGCATGATGGATTTGTAGTTAAAGCACAGCTGGAGGGCTGATTGCCCACCCTTACATTATGTACTCAACTCTCCCTTTAAGAAGCCACGGCCCTGATATATTGTAACGGACACTGTTATGTGAATCAATGCAACAAATCGAAAAGAACAAAAACAGTTTAGTCAATGAAGTTGTTGTCACCCAATCGCTAAAACCTCATCTAATGTTCAACATGCTAATTTCATTTCAAAACTCATGCTGAACCTTTTCAATCTGAAGCTTTCATTAAAGCTGAGGTTGTATCTGCTCATATTTTGTCTTCCCAGGCTCCTCCTTTACCCTTTCATTAACATGCCAATTATATTTCTTAAAGTGACATTAAACCCTCAGATTTTTTAACATAAACCAATACAGTAATACCTTGGTTTACGAGCATAATTCGTTCCGGCAGCATGCTTGTAATCCAAAGCGCTTGTATATCAAAGCAAATTTCCCCATAGGAAATAATGGAAATTCAGATGATTTGTTCCACAACCCAAAAATATTCATATAAAAATTATTACAATACTGTACTGTAATATAATACTGTACAAAATATAAAGAAAAAGAAACCAATTACCGGTACCTTTGTGGCCGGTGTGAGAGGGACAAGAGAGAGGAGGATTATTGTGTAGGACAACTTTCACTATCACTAACGGAATCACTCCTATCTCTTGACTCTTGACTTGAATGGAATCTTTTTCTCTTCGTGAAACCTTAACAAGGAATCTATCCAATGTGACATTGCATTGTCGTTAAACAGAATCCTCGCTCGCACTGCTACAGCCTTATTCAGTGGTGGTTTTCTACAAAATTTTGCTCTTCTTGCAAGACATTGCTTGTATATCAAGGCAAAATTTTTCAGAAATGTTTGCTTGTCTTGCAAAACACTCTCAAACCAAGTTACTTGTAAACCAAGGTATTACTGTACTGTAATGTGTGCCTTACTGTAATCCATGGATGTTTCCCTTCTCTTTGCTGCTCTTCCTATTAAATCCTCATGTGTTCTCATGCTGGGGGAGAACTTCCCTTTGCAGCTGAAGGCCTCTTCCTGTAGTGCTGGCTCAGGTTACAAACCTATACAAACCTATACACAGACACCATATATCCATTCCTGAGACAAGGCAGTCTGCTGCAAAACAGAAGTTCTGCCCAGCATGAGAAGACATGAGGATTTAAAAGGAAGAGCAGCAAAGAGAAGGGAAACTACCATGGATTACAGTAAGGCACACATTACAGTATTGTTTTATGTTAAAAAATCTGAGGGTTTAATGTCACTTTAAGTAAAACCTTTCTGTTTTCAATACATCATCTTTATTAGACCCGGTGATGTCATCACTGGGTATCTGTGCTCCTCTGTGCAATGTAGAAAGATCATAACTGATGAGAGGGTGCTGTACATAGCATCCTTAAAACATCACAGCACCTTGCCTCAGTACTCGAGAGACTTTAGCCCTGATGCTGGCTCTTGGAAGGAGTTGGGCAAATATTAAAATGATGGGTGGGTGTCTGTCTGGAGGAGTGGGCATTCTTATGCAGGCTGACCGCCATCGCTAACACCCACATGTGATGCTGAACTTCGGTGATCAACAGAAGTAAAAACCAATAAATAAAAGGGGCGGGCCAGGGGCAGTCAGGGTGGGGAGTGTGAGCAGCAATGGCCAAGCACCGGTGCTGCCCCATAGGATGAAGGGGAGTGACAGAGGACAGGAGACTTGAATGGATCAGTGACTGTTTGTGCATTTGGTGTAGGTGGTACTATGACAACCTGAGTCGAGGAGAAGCGGAAGACATGCTGATGAGGATACCTCGAGATGGAGCTTTTCTGATACGAAAGAGAGAAGAGACGAATTCCTACGCTATCACCTTCAGGTACGTGCTCCCTTTTCACTCCATCTTCTCTTTTCATCTTCACTCTTTGAAGTTCAGCTAGGACTTAATCTTCTCTTTACTCTGAAACACATCCATAAAAGAGAGAATCATTGAAGACCAGCTTCAGCCCAAACTGTCCTACAGATTGAACTCTCTTCTAAAGGTAATGAAACAAAATTTGAAACAAGAAAAATTTGAAACAATGGCTTCAGAATAACAGAACTCAGCTCCTTGAGGACCCGTGGGTGGAAGCCATCTGGTCCAGGTTCATTAATCATCTGGGTTCTATCAGCTATGGGCCATGGTAGTTCATTTCCCTTATCTTTGTCCCCAGTCACCAACTCTGAAAGCTGCTGTGACCTCATCAGAGTCACCCTAACTTACAGTAAATCCCAGCTTGTGTGTTTGTGTATTTTAGGGCGGAAGGTAAAGTGAAGCACTGCAGAATCCAGAAAGATGGCCGCCTGTTTGTGTTGGGAACTTCGGCGTATTTCGAGAACTTGGTGGAGCTGGTCAATTATTACGAGAAGCACACGCTGTACCGGAAGATGAAGCTGCGCTACCCTGTGACCGAGGAACTGCTGATCAGATTCAACCTTGTATGTCCCAAGTTTCCACTAATGTTTCAGTAAAATGAAACTTAGTTACATAGTTACATAGTTACATAGTATTTGAGGTTGAATAAAGACATTAGTCCATCAAGTCCAACCTATTAGGATCTCATTCTAGGAGTACCTGTACCCCTGTATATTACGGTCCCTTAAGAAATCGTCCAAAAGTTTCTTGAACAATTCCACATTATTTGCTGAAATCACCGCCTGTGGCAGTGAGTTCCAGACCCTAACTGATCTTACTGTGAAGAACCCCCTTCGCCCCTTGTGCTGGAATTTTTTTTCCACCAATTTTAGGTGATGGCCTCTAGTTTTTGTAACGGAGTTAATTTTAAACAGTTTATCGCTAATGTTGCTACCACCATTGAACATTTTGTACATGGAAATCATATCCCCCCCTTAATCTCCTCACCTCCAATGTGAACATGTTTAAATTTAGTAGCCTTGTCTCGTAGCTCTGGTCCTCCATACCCCTAATTAGTTTGGTTGCCCTCCGCTGGACTTTTTCCAACTCAAGGACATCTTTTCTCAAGGACAACTTTCTAATGTTATTTTTAAACTTCCTCCTTCTGCTAGTTTGAGGCCTCCAACACAGAGCTCCCTTCTCCCTCTCAGAGCCCCATAGCCACCCTACCTCACTCAGAGCCCTTCAGCTTCCGTTCCTTCCTTACAGTCACATAGGGTGCTCTAGTTGAATGCACCCTACAGGTTTCCCCGAGCCTCCCGGCTCCCCTCCTTTATCTCACTGGCACAGATGCCATGGTAGTCCTCCCCAAATTCACACCACTGAAGTGGCAGCATATTTTTCTTCCACTGCCACCGACACAGCAGCATTTGTTCCTTACAGTGACACCACCAACACAGGGGCATATTTCCCTTTGCCTGATGAAGGGAACTTTTGGTTCCGAAACATTGCATGGAAATGCTGCACCATTTAGTCAATAAATAGATTGACTGGACGCTACAATGGAGTGCGAGTGACTTTTTTGGTTCATTGTTATATGCGGAGGCGTCCGCTGTCGCTGCCGCACCCGCCCTGTGTGTGGGGAACTTTTTTCCGGTCAGGAGTGCGATGGGACCTTTTGGATTTTGTATTTCCCTTTAGTGACTCCCCTGACGTAGGGCATTTTTTTCTTTTTAGTGACACCACTGACAAAGGGGGCATTTTTCTTTTTACTGATACCACTAACAGGTAAATTTTTTCCATCCAGCGACATAACGGACACAGGGGTATTTTTTCCTTAACACCGACGGAGGTGTTTTATCCCTGTAGTGACACCACTGACACAGGGGCATTTTTTCTATTTAGTGACACCACTGACACAGGGGAATCTTTTCCCGTTAGTGACACCACTGACGTAAGTCATTTCTTTCCTTCCAGTGACACCACTAACATAGGGGCATGTTTTCCTTCCAGTGACACCACTGACTTGGGCATTCTTTTCTTTTGGTGACATCACCAATACAGGGGCATTTTTTCCTTCCAGTGACACCACTAACACAGGGGCATCTTTTCCCTTTAGTGACACCACCGACGTAAGCCAATTTTTTCCTTCCAGTGACATCACCAACACAAGAGCATTTTTCCCTTTAGTGACACCACCGACGTAAGTCAATTTTTTCCTTCCACTGACACCACCAACACGGGGGAATTTTTAACTTCTAGTGACACCATTGATGCAGTTTGGCATCTTCACGCTGAGCAATGGATGACCTTGTCCCGACACTGACTACACAAGAAATACAAAAGGAAGTAGCTGGTTGTCTACTGTGACCAACAAAGCCAATTGGTCCTTTAAAAATGTAATGTCTGTGCCAGGGCACTTGCTTGGCAAAGGCAAGCTTGGCATTTTCCTAGAGCACCACCAGCTAGAGAAGGCCCCAGATTGCAGTAAGGAATAGCAGCTACACATAGTGACATCTTACTGTGTATGGACAAAAGTCTATATTACATTGTAGAAAAAAAGTCGGGTGTGTGGGCAACTCTACTCCATTTATAGACGGGAAATGCCAAACTTCTCAATGCCTTTGTCCCTGGCTCTGTGCTTTTCCTAGAACCTTGCACAGAGCTTCAGTTCACAATACAGTCATCCCCTGTGACATGCTTTTACTTCTATGAGATATCTTCAAACTGACATGCATGGCTATTTTGACTTATTATGGGTTTGTAGTCGGGTACTTAGCATGCTCTTGCAGCAAACACGCTATACTCTAATGCTGTATACAGAATAAGACCTATAATAAAGTCTGCTAAAGCCTTAACTATAGCTCACCTGGAGGATATTTCCTTTTATTTTTTCCTCATTAGATCGCTAATTAGTTTTTAAGTCAGTGACAACCATGTATTATAATAATATATTATCCGATACGGTAAAGGGCCTGTCCCCCATCCGTGCCAGTTCTGACAAACCCATTCAGCCCATCAGTTCTTATAAATGACATTGTTTGCTGATTACCTCTCTTACATCCATTAACTAGGAGTGTTCTGTTCCAGGAAAAAGACGTAAACTCCATTTACGATGTAATGACCAAACTCTACGTGGATCCCGATGAAATTTCCCCGGCCATGGTGAGAATGATTCCGCTTCTACATCAGCTCATACCTGTGCTGCTGCATCACCCGTCCGGGCGCACAGTATAGGAATGTTACCTAAAAAGTGCTATATTGTTATTCATTTTAAACTCCCCCCCCCGATTATTGCCCTTTAACTCATGCCGCTCATTCAGCATCGATCACCCATGGGAATAAATTGTACTGCATAAAGGGATTATTAAAGCTAAACTCCAGGCAGATATAAAAGACACACATGAATGCAGCTCGCTATCCATTAATAAATCATGAAATGTATTTAGTTTTAAGTAATTTAGTATCAGTATCGGTGCCGATGCTGAGTATTTGCAATCTGTAATTGTTTAAGTGGATGGGGGACCTTTTAGAATAAAAAGATGGCCCTTTAACACAGAAAGTGGTGCCACCTCCTGGCTGTGCTACCTGGCAGAGCTATATGTGTATTTAGCTGCTTACCTGGAGTTTAGCTTTAAGGGATCTGTTTCCACCCTTGCCGCACTAGCACCTCACCTTTGTATATATTCTCTTTTTTTATTCTAAGCCCCAAGGAACAGTTATGGCTTTATACAACTATTCAGCTACCAGACCAGATGAGCTGAGCTTCTGCACGGGCGCTGTCATTCATAACGTGATCAAAATCTCTGATGGATGGTGAGGACCGGTCATGTTCTTATTCATCGTTAGTTATATTGGAACGTAGGGGGTTAAACAAAGGATTGACCTCTCGTGCAATATTGTAACCCGTTGTGCAGGTGGAAGGGCGACTATGGAGATAAACTGCAGCACTTCTTCCCTTCCAATTATGTGGAGGACATATCGACCAATGAGGAATTTATCACTAACCAGGTAACACTGCTACACCGGGTGTAAATCATAAAAATGATATGTCCTATGTGTAGTCAGTTCCATTTTAGGCCCATTTCCCACCTGGGCGTTTTTCCACGCGTTCGTACTCGCGGAAAAACGCTCAAACAGGGAAATGCCATTATTTTCAATGTGCATGGTTCCCATCTGGGCGTTTTTCCGTGAGTACGAACGCATGTACTTCTATGGGGCGTTTTGGTCGGGCGTTTCCATTGGTATACAGCCAAGTAGCCCTCGGAAACGCGCGTTTGTCGCACGGTTTTTTTTACCGCGAAAGGCGCGACAAACGCTAATATTCAATACGCCTAGGTGTGAACCCATCCTTAAGGTGAACCCAGGTGCAGACTATGCCCACTTGAGTATTCACATGAACTTGCTATAAAAGTACTTTTGATGAAGTCCTAACTCACCTCTGTAGCTATGGGCATTGTGGAGCAAATTATTTTCAAAATTCCCACTAGAGGCACTAGGGGTGTGAATCATAAGTCATACATACTATATGTATTTCATCTGTGTATTCAGGTTCACTTTAAGGTGGATCCGTGCCCAGACTATGCACACTTAAGCATTTACATTAACTTGCTGTAAAAGTACTTTTGATGAAGTCCTCACTCACTTCTGTAGCTATAGGCATTGTGGAGCAATTCATTTTCAAACTTCACACTACAGGCACTAGGGTTGTGAATCATAAATCATACATAGTATATGTATTTCAACTGTGTATTCAGGTTCACTTTAAGGTGGATCTGTGCCTAGACTATGCCCACTTAAGTATTTATATGAACTTGCTGTAAAAGTACTTTTGATGAAGTCCTCACTCACCTATGTAGCTAGGGCCATTGTGGAACAATTCAGTTTCAAAGTTCACACTAGAGGCACTAGGAGTGTGAAGCATAAGTCATACTTACTATATGTGTTTTATCTGTGTATACAGGTCCACTTTAAGGTGAATCCGTGCCTAGACTATGCCCACTTAATTATTTATGTGAACTTGCTGTAAAAGTAGTTTTTATGAAGTCCTCACTCACCTCTGTTGCTATGGGCATTGTGGAGCAATTCATTGTCAAAGTTCACACTAGAGGCACTGAAATCACAGCTCCTTCCCTCAATACTTTCTATGGAGAGCAGACTCTTGGCAGCCTGCCAGTCTTTTAGTATACACACACATCTGGCCATACAGTGCTCAGATTTCATCCAGCTGAAATTTGATCCATTGGTGGCCCTGCTGGCACCCCTCAGTTTAAAAAAGTTTTGGGGACAGGCCAAAGGTGTGTAGCTGAACAGTGACATCCGCCAATCAGCTAGAGTCACTGGTCAGGTATTCAGACAGCTGCGGGCGCTGCCTATCGGAATACAGTAGCTGGCAAAGGAAACTCCCCCATCCATGCTGCTTTTTTGGTGGTACTCGCTCCCACTTCCTTATTCATCCTAGACAAAGATGACATCCTTGGTCCACCTCTCCCACCACCACTTGCAGCCTCCTATGGTATAGACACACATCCCAGGAGGATACTAGACCGTTCTCCCTGCAGTCCAGATCTTGCACGTGTGCAGTAGGTGGCTGACGGCGTGTGATCAGGAAGCCACAGCCAGCATCTAAATCCAAGATGGCGGTGCGGAAGGCCAGAAGCCCTGAGAAGTATCAGCTGCACGGATGACAGCGCTGGACTTCATGGGCTGGTAAGTATGTGCTTCGTCAGCAGCTACAGTACTTCATTAAGTCCCTTATTAAGAACATTCAGGGACACAGCAGTAAAAACCCCCGCAGAGGGTCTCATCCTTCCCTACTCTATCCAAAACGAAATCAAAGGTTTTGTCTAGAGATACACTTTAAGGCATCGTGTGTCTGGAAAGTGAGAGGATAGTAGCTGCCGGAATGGAATGTGTCTCTTTAATCTGAGTATTGGATACATTTCATCTTGTCTGGCCGGAGATCAGAATGTGATTTGTAGAGATGAGAGCCTTCCGCTGATTATGAAATGTCTGCCATCCATGTGCAAATCATCATGACAAGGTGACTGAAAGATTCTCCTGTTTGGCAGATCATTGAGGACAGTCCCCTGGGATCCCTGTGCAGAGGAATTCTGGATCTGGGCACCTATGAAATCAGTAAGTACGACCTCAGTCCTGGACTTTATGTGCCACCTTTCAGGCTGATAACCGATATCAGGTACCGATATTCTGTTTACATTCAGGAAGTCGTCTGAGAACAAAAGTTATCTCTCAGGTCCGCTCCTCTGCTGATTGACAGCAGGCAGTGGGTGGGTGCAATAGCCATCCTGATATTTTCTATTGCTTCCCCTGCTATTTGTTGTTTTTTGTTGTATTCTGACAGCGGCCTCCGGCTGCTGTTAGAATACCTGAACAGAGGCGGCAGTTCAATGGCTGCCGCCTCTGTTCCTGTGTAGATTTTCTGATCGGCTCCTTCAATCATGTATAACAGATGGATTATAGGAAGGAAGGAAGGAAGGATCAATGGAACATTCAGCTAGGATATTCCACATCATAAATATCTATCCATTTGTATTTTCTTCCCAGGTGCCATTTTAGATTAACATGAAAACCACCGCATGAAATCTGTATGACATGAGCCTGTATTAGGAAGCATTTGTCATTCGGTGCCAATAAGTGAAATAAATATATATATATATTTTTTTCCCAGAGAAACTTCCGCAGGGGAAGAACAAGAAAACCTTCGTCTTTTCACTGGAGCCCAAGAATCCTGAGGACCCCTCGGTAGATTTTGCGACTGATAAAGTGGAAGAATTGTTTGAATGGTACAAAAACATCCATCACATTGTACACCAGAAGGGGGCGCAGGTGAGTGCTGGACGGCTCATTGCAGTCTATACCTGGAACAGAACGGGATAGTTTTTTTGGCTGACCCTACATTTGGAATGCTGGTTTACTTGACACACCTGCTGTTTTAGTAGGGATGCACCGATACCGTTTTATTCGTATCGAGTATGACTACTGATATTTATATTTCCGTACTCGCCGATACCGAGTCATGATACCAGTACTTCTGATAGCATGGAGCTCCCTTCCCAGGCAATCAGGAAGCCGGGCGGCATGTCATTTTCCGCCACCTGGCTTTGTAATTGGCCAGAAAGCTCCCTCCATGCTGCTTGGCCAGCTTGATGCTGATTGGCTGGGAAGCATTGAGCTGGCAAAACAGGATGGAGCCATTACCCCCCGCCCGGCTTCCTGATTGGCCATGAAGCCGGCTCCATGTTCCCTCGCAGCACGATTCTGGTATCGGGGAATGTGTGCATCCCTACTTTTTAGTATATTTTCTTTCTGGGTCAAATGTAACATCAGAAAGATACCTCGTTATGACCACTAGATGGAGCTGAGGAGCACAGGAAAGACCTATTTATTTTCTATGATTTCTAGGCCCACCTAGTGGCCATAATGCAGTATTTTCCTGATTACATTCGATCTGGAAAGAAAAGAAAAATATAATATATATATCTATATATCTATAGATATATATAGATATATCTATAGATATATATATTAATACCATTTGTTTTTGCCCCCATTTGCACAGAACGAATGTACATGCACTTGCTCTTCAATAACTATACAGGCTTGTAGATGGATTTGGTTATTAGGAGTGGGATAAAACCTGTTGAAAATTCAGTACAGAGTACAGATTTATTTTTAGTTTTTCACCATGGATACCCTTAAAGGAAAACTATGGGGTTAAGGCTTTTCCCCATAGTTCTCCTTAGGGTAATGGGAGGACACAAACTAGCGTCCTCCCGTCACCCTAGGCTCAGTATACCGCAAGCTATAGCTCGCGGTATACTGAGACGCCACAGCTGAAGCGAATCCCGACAATTATGCCGGGATCCGCCCAGCTGTGTGACTGACAGCTGGCTCTGCCTATCTAGAGGCAGAGTCAGCTGTACCCGCCCCCTCCCTTGTCCATTCCGCCAGTCAGCGCTGGCGGATCGGAGCGGGGAGGGGGGAATCCAGCCCCTCCCCTGTCACGGCAGAGAGCCATGACAGGATCAAGAGGTGAGCGAACGCCGGTATGTGTTCGCTCACCTCCCGATCTACTGAGCAGTCTCATTATCACAGGTCGGCTAGAACTATGAGGTAAGTGAAAAGCACTCACCTCATAGTTCTACTTTAAAGAAAACTGTATGTAGGTAGGAAAGCTGCCAACCATATTGGAAAAATAGATTTTGGGTTTCCGTTCACTTTAATGTTCAGTTTCTTGGCCAGCAGAACGCAAACCGACCAGGTAACAGATGCGGCCTCCTGCTTGTTCCCCCGGGGTGGTGGAAGGGTTAAGGGAAAGGATATTAGAGGCTTTTTAATAACCGCCATTACTTTTCAATCAGCCTCCAATGCCAACATCTGGATTTAAGTGAGGCTGACATCACCCACTTGTGCTGATTGCCACCGACAGGAATATCTTACACGCCAATTGGCATATTATACATTTTAAATTGCTCTCTCCATTGACTTCAACAACCCGCATACATATTTATGCGCCTACGGCGCGGCGGCAGGAAAAAAAAAAGTCACTTGATTTGCAGTTTAATTTTTCAATTTGTGAGTTTTTTTTTTTACCATCAATTAATATTGCATTGCATTTAGATTCTAAAGCGTCATTAAATATTCCGGGAACCTGCAATTTAACACGCGTCCCCGACAGAGGTAAACAGCAGAGCCAGTGGCGGCGGGTCACACCATTGCAGCGCTGTGGACCTTTGTGTTGTGGACCTCATTGCCAATGCAGTGGTTTGACTACACCAGGGGTGCCCACAATTTTTGTGTTAAGATCTACTTTTTGAATGACGAGCTACATGAGATCTACCAACGAAAAAAAAACCTCCCTCGCTCTCTCTCCCCTGGCTGTCTCTCCTCGCTCTCCTGGCTGTCTCTCCTTGCTCATCCTCCTGGCTGTCTCTCCTCTCTCTCCTGGCTGTCTCCTCGCTCTCTCTCTCCTGGCTGTCTCTCCTCGCTCTCTCTCTCCTGGCTGTCTCTCCTCTCTCTCCTGGCTGTCTCCTCGCTCTCTCTCTCCTGACTGTCTCTCTTTGTTTTCTCTCCTGGCTGTCTCTCTTCACTCTCTTGCCTGTCTCTCCTCGCTCTCTCCCCTGGCTGTCTTTCCTCTCTCTCTCTCTTGGCTGTCATTCCTCATTTTCTCTCCTGGCTGTCTCTCTTCACTCTCTTGGCTGTCTCTCCTCGCTCTTTCCTGGCTGTCTCTCCTCTCTATCTTTCCTGGCTGTCTCTCCTTGCTCTATCTCCTGTCTGTCTCTCCTCTCTCTCTTTCCTGGCTGTCTCTCCTCTCTCTCTTTCCTGGCTGTCTCTCCTTGCTCTATCTCCTGGCTGTCTCTTCTCTCTCTTTCCTGGCTGTCTCTCCTCTCTCTCTTTCCTGGCTGTCTCTCCTTGCTCTCTCTCCTGTCTGTCTCTCTCCTGGCTCTCTCTCCTGGCTCACCTTGCTGTATTTTGCAAACAGTGTAGTGCACTAGGCTGTGTAAACTAATATTCTTTGATGTAATACATAGCACTTAAACCACCAGTATCCACCAGAAAGGTGTCAGTGAGCTTGGCTCAGCAGACTCAGGCTAATAGGTAATCATGTGTGCACAGCTAAATAAATATACCAAAATGGAATAAAGGGGCCACCATTCACACCCTTCCTGATCTACCAGCATCAGCTTTGAGAGCTACTGGTAGATCTACCTAATGGGCACCCCTGGACTACACCATGGCGTATGTTTAGGCCAGTGGGTGGGCAACTCCGGCTCCCCCAGCTGTGCTTAAACTACAATCCTATCATGCATCTGCCTCTGGTGAGTCATGGCTGGGGCTGTCAGAGTCTTGCAATGCCTCATGGGAGATGTAGTTCTACAATAGCTGAGGGGCCGGAATTGCCCACCCATGGTTTAGGCTCATAAGATTAATGCAGATGTGGAAAGCTAAACTGATTCTTTTATTTTAAATAATTGAGAAACATTTTTTTAATAATCTTTAATTTAAAGTGAACCTGACCCGGCCTTAAACGTTTCCATAGAATCAATGGTGCAGGTACTTTGTGGCATATGGAAGCACCCTTGTTCCTAAGTAGCCCCCTTTGGATCTCAAGGCCGGCCTGCCTATTGACTTTTGCTCAGGTCGATATTAATCCCACCCCCTCCCAATGCTAAGCCCTGCCCCCTCTTATTTAAATACCAAATGCCAGAGCCCTGTGTGTCAGTTAATAGAAGGGCGGTGCTTAAGCCTAGTAGGGGGTGAAACTAAGGCCCCATTCAAATTTTGCGCTGTGTGAACGCGTGTGTTTTTGTTGCGGTTGTACCAGAAATATACAAGAGGTCACCCGCACTCCAAAAATGATTCTGGGCTATTTCCTGTCAGGAGTGCGATGGGACCCCCTGGAGTTACGTTCTTGTTGCAGTTGTCACGTGTCAGCCTATTCAATCAATGCCGCACACACAACGACAGCAAAGCAGTTTGCGCAGCTGTGAGCGTGCCGCGCTTTTCTTTCCCACGTGCTTGTGCGTGTTTGACCTGCATCAGCGCATGGGGAAAAAGACGGCCGTTTTACCGCCTGTGTTTGTGGTGCCATTAACAAGTAATGGCACTGCAAGCACATTTTCTTTTGACGCATTGCGTGAGTGCGCATGCTTTGGCACGCGTTTCAGCAATGTGAAGATGCGAACCCTTAATGAAAATACTTTTTAATGTGAATTGTGATCTGGATTCTAGTTTAACACAAGCTGTTGGGGAACGTTCAGGGCCGTATTTCTCACAAGGCCAACCAAGGCCCCCCGGCCTTGGGGCTGCAGGGAGTAGAGGGGCAGCAGGGGTGTGGAATTCCTATCTCCCGATGCCCGGGATGTGAATTTCTGGGCGGCGGGCAGGTAGTTTTCTACATTAAGCCACCGCTTGTTTTGTACAAGTGATCTCGGCAACATTGTTTCTTGGGGTTTATTGCTGCCTGATGGCTTCCTTTTACTTCCTGTCACCGTGACACCGTCAGAGACACAGGCAGCAATTAAAACCTGTTGAGGGCTCCATCCTTCTATTATTATACTAGAAGCAGATTGCCCATGACAACCAATCGGCTTCTCTCTGTTCAGTTATGTTTTGGAAAGAAAAGATAGAAGCTAATTGGTTGTCATGGGCAATCTGCTTCTAGTAGATTAATAGGATGGAGCCCTCAACAGGTTTTGATTGCTGCCTGTGTCTCTGATGGAGATTTCCCCTGTCTTCCTGTAAGGGTGACACCATGGTGTCACCGTGGCAGGAAGTAAAGGGAAGTCATCAGGCAGCAATAAAATCCAAGAGACGCCCCTTCCCTTCTCCAACAGCTTGGGTTAAACTTGAATCCAGATCACGATTCACATTAGGGCTCCATTCACACATAGCAGTAGAGTTTTAGGCGTGGAACGAAAACCACACAAACGCACGGATTCGGCACGCTTGCGGCATTTACTATAGCCGGGTCGTGCAGAATCCACCCATTAAATCACGCTTGGAGTATTTTGAGGGAAGTGTGGCTTCGTACCGTGCGGTGGCCGCCATAGTCTGAACAATGCACATTGCAATGCAATGCAGTGGCGTAACAATCGCCATAGCGACCCAGGCGGCCGCTATGGGGCCCGTGCACAGGGGGGCCCGGCATCCCGCTGATGCTGTGTGAGCCGCCTGGGTCGCTATGGCGTCTCGGGTGCTTGCTGTCACTGACATAGCTCAGCAGCTGCTGTGAAGGAGAACGTTCCCCCTCACAGCCGCTGCGGAGCTGTGTCAGTGACAGCCAGCAGATGCGGCAGAATAGGCCGGTTACACCGGCATTTTCAGTAAAGGAGGCGGGGCCCGCCTAACAGCAACCCCGCCTCCTCTCACATCACTGGCCAGCGATCTAAGAGCAGGTGGGGCCAGTGATGTAAGAGGAGGCAGGGCCCGTCGATAGAAGGAGGCGGAGCCCAGGAACGAAAGAGGAGGCAGGGGCCCGGCGGCGGCGACCACGGAGGTGACAGGTAAGAGGCGTACAGCGCAACTGAGACCTTGCAGAGCCCACCATAGAGAGTCTATGGTGGGCTCTGCAAGTGGCATAACTAGCAATCACGGGGCCCCATACAAAATTTTGCTATGGGGCCCTGCGATTTCTAGTTACGCCCCTGATGCAATGTTTTTGTGTTTACCGAGGTTCAGATCGTAATACCTGTGGAAAACCGCTCATGTGCGAATGAAGCCTTTTCATTATTACTCTATTCGCTTAGACTAAAAGTCCCAGCATGCTTTGCCAGCGGCTGTAACAAGGACACAGTAAAGAAAATAAATCACGCTCTCGTTTTCTGCGCCCTTGTTAATCGGCTGTATTGGAATAGACCCCCACGTGCATTTTCTTGGCGTTCCCCGCAGGATCCTCTAACCCCGGAGGTGCCGCAATCTTTCTTCCATTAAACAAGAGGAAGATGCGAGCTTGGCCCCATGACCCGCTCTTTTATCATCGTTCACTGATCTCATGATCTAATTAGCTAATAAAGAAATGATACATATCCTCCAACGTGTCCCACTTATGTCGTCATTTATCTCCTCTGATCCCCCCTCCAGGACTTCGTCATCAAGACATGGGAGAAGAATCAGGTCATTGCCAGAGAGCTGTCCGACTTGGTGATTTACTGCAAGCCCACCAGTGAAGGCAAAGACAACCTAGGTAGGTTCCTGGGGGAATCGGCTCTAAGGTACAATGTGAATCTTTCTCTGATAGAGCTCTGCAAGTGTAAAGACTTAAAGTCATATTAAAATCAAAAGGGTTTCAAATGCTGATGATATTACTTACATTGGGTGCTGCTCCTTCCAGCAGAATCAGCTGGTCCCCTGATCACCGGCCCTGATATCCTGTTTAAAGGTGGCTCCATTCCCTCGCAGGGTCCTATGAAGCCACCCTTGTGTGTGCTAGTAAGCTGTGTGTGTCTCCACAAATACACAGGCACAGCAAGGCAAGACTCTCCCCTGATCCCCAGTGGCGTCTTGCCGGGGGTGCGGCCCGCACCCGGGTGACACCATTGGAGGGGTGACACCAAAATGACTGACAGTCATTTTGGTGTCACCCCCCTCTGAAAGTCGGGCACTCAGGACCGAGAGCCCGACAGTTGCTCGAGAGAGAGAGCATGCCTTATCCCGCCGGGTGACATCCCCTACTCTCTCTGCCCGGCGTCCATCACCAAGATGGCCGCCGACAGGTAACAGCGATACCGTGCATGATGACGTCACTGCGGGGTGTCACCCGGTACACGCACCGGGTGTCACCCTGCCTCGGGACGCCTCTGCTGATCCCTACTCCTCCTCTTCTCTTCACCAAGCCAGTAGATGGCAGCCCACTCCATTGTTCTGTGCTGAGAGCGAGCTCACTGGTGTGCTTCCAGCTCCGTGACCGGGAGCTGTCAGTGATAGCTGGTGGGACGAGCTACCGATCATGTGACCACTGTGACAGCCAATCACATGATCGGGAAGGCCACCTCCGACTCCCGATGTTAAGGACTCCTCAAAGGGCTAACGGGAATCATGGCAAGGGGTTAAATCCCCAATAAAGCCTCCATTGTTATTGCTAGTTATGTAGTAAGGTGGCAAGGGGTTAAAGGAGGGTACTGTGAATGTAAATGAATTATGGAACCCTGCAAATGGCAGCAGGGGTAGGCACACTCCGGCCCTCCGGCTTTTGTGGAACTACAAATCGCATTAGGCATTGCAAGACTCTGACAGCCACAGGCATGGCTCCCAGAGGCAGATGCATGTTGGGATTTGTAGTCTCCTTACAGCTGGATGGTCGGAGTTTGCCTACCCCTAGTTTAAATGATTTATAACTGCTTTGCCGTCATTAGACCGTCATTAAATTGATCCTCCGAGAGCGCCCTCTAGTGGACAACCTTCAAACCTCTATAGCAAGGGCAACAGTGAAAATCTTCAAAAATGTCTTCAAAAGTAAACTTAAAGTTAACACTGGAAAAGGAACTCAAAATATGGTCTGGCTGAAAATTCACAGTGCCTTCCATTTAATTGCCTGGCAAGACTTTTTATATTATTTAACAACAGAAGAATAAAAAGAAGCCGAAAGAATGTTCCATTTCCCCGCTGATGATGAACAGTTCAGTTAAGGAGCGATCAGTGGCTGCCAGAGCCCGGGTCTTTAAACAGGAGACTGTAAAGGACTCGGGATGAAGGATTGCTACTTTAAATGTTTCTAGAGAGGAAGGTATTTCTTGGTGACAATGTGACTGCTCCTCACACAGAATTTGTTTTCCTCCCGACACAAATATATTCCGTGCTGCCGCCACGAGCGCGTCCAATTAAAATAACTCGTTTAATCATGCAATTATTTTAACTGTCGGCTAATGAGTGATCTGGGGGATGGCAATTAAATAAGTTCAGGTAAGAACACATGAAGGTGGCAGATATTTGAAGGTGCCAGTGACATTGCTTGGCGGCGTCCTTTTCTTATGTACCACCATTCATCACAATAAACAATATGGACATTCATCAACATTTTAGGTCAAGGTTTTTGTTAAAGGTTCAGGCAGATTTCAAACATACAAATTCATTTAGGTCTGCATTTATTAATACAATGTTATGTATCCCTTTAAGACTTAAAATGGAACTGCAACCTCTTATCCCTTACATTCAAGGAAGGTGCCATCTTGGCCTGTTTGGATCGCAGTTGCCATGGTGCTGCACACGTGATCAGCTATGACACCAGCCATTTGAGGGTTGAAAGTTCGGTTGAGAACTGAAAAAAGTACACGTCTAGGCTGACCACCAGTGTAAGTGGTCACCCCTAAACTGACCACCAATGTAAGGGGTCAATTTACACTGACCACCAATGTAAAGGGTCAATTTACACTGACCACCAATGTAAGGGGTCAATTTACACTGACCACCAATGTAAGAGGTCCCCCCTAAACTGACCACCAATGTAAAGGGTCAATTTACACTGACCACCAATGTAAAGGGTCACTTCTACACTGACCACCAATGTAAAGGGTCAATTTACACTGGCCACCAATGTAAGGGGTCAATTTACACTGACCACCAATGTAAAGGGTCACTTCTACACTGACCACCAATGTAAGGGGTCCCCCCTAAACTGACCACCAATGTAAAGGGTCAATTTACACTGACACCCAATGTAAGGGGCCAATTTACACTGACCACCAATGTAAAGGGTCACTTCTACACTGACCACCAATGTAAAGGGTCAATTTACACTGGCCACCAATGTAAGGGGTCAATTTACACTGACCACCAATGTAAAGGGTCACTTCTACACTGACCACCAATGTAAGGGGTCCCCCCTAAACTGACCACCAATGTAAAGGGTCAATTTACACTGGCCACCAATGTAAGGGGTCAATTTACACTGACCACCAATCTAAGGGGTCACTTCTACACTGACCACCAGTGTAAGGGGTCACCCCTACACAGACCACCAGTGTAAGGGGTCACCCCTACACTGACCACCAATGTAAGGGGCCATTTCTACACATTTACCACCAATGTAAGGGGTCACTTTGACACTGATTACCAATGTGTGAAGTCACTTCTACACTGACCACCCATTTATTGGATCACTTCTACACTGACCACCAATATATGGGGTCACTACAATTTAACTGTCTGTGTCCCATTTCTGGCCATTATTATTTGTTTGTTTGTATTTGTTGTTATGTGTTTAATATAAGTGTCCTCAGCCTGGTGTGTTAGCTTTGTGAAGCTGGACACTTCATTTTATGACTGACCTGTCTGACTCTATGCACAGAGAGACCGGACTTCCGAGAGATACGATCATTTGTGGAGAATAAAGCGGAGAGTGTCTCTAGACAAAAGCCGCATGAACTGTTGCGATATAATCGTAAGGCGCTCACTCGAGTCTACCCCAAAGGACCGCGGGTGGACTCTTCCAACTACGATCCACTGCGACTCTGGCTGTGCGGTGTCCAGATGGTGGCTCTGAACTACCAAACGCCAGGTAAGTGCCTACAGTATGTACATTGAAAAATGAACTCTTGTATCCTCTTCTCTGTATGTGTTATGTGCCAGCTTTTATATGCATGGCTGGATTTCTTTATTGCCAACATAGACTATGGCCTAGGGTAGCAGGTCTGCAAGGGGCAGTACAATGCCACATGCACATCTTGTTACTGTCAATACCAGTTGTGCTACTGCCATACGTACCAACATCATGGATATCAGGACACTGTTAACTTTAACCACAGTCCACATTTTGCCAGCCCACTTTCTGGGTGGGCATGCCCAAATCATGACCACTTTATGGGTTTGTCCTGCTCCGACCTCAAAATATTTAGGGGCCGTCCACTCCCTGCCCTGATTCCGGCAATTATTGCCTTCTCGAGTTACTTTTCACTTGCAGTACCAAAAACAAAGTTGATGTTGTAGTCCCAGAACATGACCCAGGACACACCATCAGCAGGACATGTTGAGGCCGGGGCAGTTGGTAGACCTTATAATACCATAGCAGACCGACCATTGATCTGATCTGATCTCACTGCACAGAGACAATTGCAACCCTGTTATATTAAGCACATTTTTCGACTTTTACAGACCGCTCCATGCAGATAAACCAAGCCATGTTCTCCTACAATGGACGCTGTGGATACATCTTGCAGCCGGAGTGTATGAGGCAGGATTCCTATGACGCGAGTGACTCGAAGAGAGCGGGGCAGGTGGTGTTGACCATTAGGGTAGGTGACAGGCTTCAGGTTTTAAAAGAACATGTGACTATTTCCTGTCCCCATCTGTATAACTGTATGGCTGACATAAAAAAAAAAGTATGTTTTAAACAATATTATTTTATGCAATTAGTGTAACATTTTTGGTGGCCCCATTACCTCCATTCAACTTTTTATTTATACTTAATGCACTTTCACTTCCAAAGTGTAAAGGTAAACCAATCCGTGGGTTCAACTACATTTTTTTTCCTGTCATTATGATCAGGACTAAAAAATAATAGTTTTCAAAAATATTTTTTTTTAGAGGTTTCGGTCAGACAAAGCCAGCCAAAAAGCAGGCATCTCCTTTTCCTGTGCTGCCTCTTCAGCTTGCCTATAGTGTTCTGCAAGGCCGAATTTACTATTATCGACAGTACAAAAGTGCCTGTAGGCAAAACATTGATACACCCGTAAGTATGTATGGATAAGGCAGTGAAAGGGCTACATCAGTATACATAATCAGGGCCATCCCTATAATGGTAGCGTGAGGCTGGGCAGGACGCCGGCCAGAGCAGCGGTGTGACTCTCTCTCCACTCTGCACCAGGACACACCTTCCCCCCGGTTGCCCCAGGTGGCAAAATAGATCAGGACAACCCTGTACATAATGCAGAAACCAATAACAACCTAACATATTTAGGTCATGATAACCAAAAATTTGTAGTAAGTGGACTTGATGACTGCACTGCACACAATAGGGATGAGCGAAGTGGAGAGTTCTTGCATTACCAAAATGTTGTTGAAAAATTGCGACATTTCATCGAAATTCACCATTTTGACCAATGGGGAAGGCAAATGAAGGGTGCAATGAGCTTTAATGGACTCCTGAGGGTTACGGAGTGAGGGAAGTTTCTTATGATGATTTATTTATGTTTTAATTTTAAACAATTATCAAATGTATTTATTACAATGTATTATTACATTATTTTTTTTTAAATAACTTTTAAGAAAGGCAGTAGTAACTTTCACGACTTTGTATATCAACAAAGCCATGTGACCACCATGTCAGCAGCTATGCTGCAAAATCAAGTCCGGCTAAATGACTCCACTCATCCCTAGTACATTATGCCCTTGTTTGCAATGCCTGATCATGTACAATACATAGCACAATACAGAATGTTGTCCGTGGGGGTAATACAGAATCATATTTGGTATTCCAGGTTATAGGTGCTCGCCATTTGCCGAAGCCTGGCCGTGGTATCGCCTGTCCATTCGTGGAGCTAGAGATTTGTGGAGGGGAATACGATAATAATAAGTTCAGAACCAGCGTTGTCAGTGAGTATTAGACTTCACAATTACAGAAAGCGACACGACGAGGACTAAATGTACAACTGAAACTATCTGTATGACCCAATCATATTTCCCTAAAACCAATATGCAAACATTGTTGCCGGAGTTTATATTTCTTATAGTCTGAGATTGCACTTTACAACCTTTGTGTCTTAGCAATTCCATTACAAGTGAACCTGTTAGCTTAGAAATATGTAGGCTGCCATTGCTGGGTTTAGGGCTCCCTTTGCTTCATTGACCATATCGCATGTCCCGATGCTTCCCTGCTCGCCTGGTTGTTCCAGGATGGTGGCTCACCAAGTAGTGAAAAGAAGAAAATATTGACAGCCATAAGGCTTGCATGTTAAAGGCGAGTCAACAATGGCCGCTCCCATATTTCTTCCTTCACAGGCTCCCTTTAAAGGAGTGGTTCTCAACCTGTGTAACCTCAGGACCCACATTTGTCCTTGGTCATTAAGTCATGACCTAAGTCGCACTGCACTGGAACGCACTGCATTGCGGTACCGCGCATTCCAGTGCGGGCGATGGAACTGTGGGTGGGAGGTGCATTTAGGGTGCCATTCAAATGAATGGCAATGCAACAAACCTCCCACACCAGAACGGGACTGTGCGATTAACGCACTGCACTAGTGTGAACGGCCCTCAAAAACACGGACAGACCCACACAACCACAAACACAATCTCACCCAGTCTCCCTCTCTTAAAACTAACCGGAGTGGATCCTCAGCCTGGGATCAGTGTGGGCTGCTGTGCAGTAGCTCCATTCATCTGTGCATTGCTAGTACAACTCCCTTGCGTGCCCTGTGATGGTTTCGGGAGCCAGAATGTGACGTCACTCCGCTAACGGCACCTCTACAGGACACGTGAGTGAGCTGTAAGCAATGCACGTATGAATGGCCATACCCCATCCCACCTCACCCCAAACTGACTCTTGGCACCAGGCAGCATATTTTGAATGGCTGCTTGGCGTGAGAACTGACAGTGCTGCGCTAGGCGGGGGCTGAGGAGCCTCTCACCCAGAAAAGTGGAAGGCTGGCAGTGACCCACTGAACATGAGGTCGCGACCCACTTTTGGGTCACGACTCACCAGTTGAGAACCAAGGCTTTAAAGGATAGTTGCACGATACAACTCTGTGGGATTAGATAATTAAAGGATAAGTGCACTTTAAAACAAAGTGTCCTTTTCTTTTTTGCCCCTTCTCCCTGGCCTTACCTAACCCACCCCTCTACAGATCAATACTGATATCACTCCAGTGGCTCCTAGCCGCACCTACACATTAGAGACCTATAGACACGTATGGGGCTGTCTTCCTTTGTCTCCGGCCTCAGGAGACAGTCTCATATAGGTCTACAGGGCTGTAATGCACAGTCGAGACCAGGATAGTGGAACTTAGGGTGCTGGATGTAATCAAACAGTGGAGGCTAATGGTGTAGGTATGAATCTGTAGAGGGGCCTGTTAATTCAGGGGAAAGGGGCAAAAAGAATAAGTGCACTTTGTTTTAAAGTTCACCATTCCTTTAAGTCACTTATAGCCAAAGACTTCATTTAATAAGGTTAGTTTTTTGCAGATAGGTCAGGTAGATAGGCCAACTTGTAGGTTGCTCCTGCCCTAGTTTACATCCTCTGGCTTTTCATTTCCTCCCTGTATGAGCCCCTAGTCTGTAGTTGGAATACAGGAAGAGGGCTGGACAATTCACTATGAACCTACCTGACTCAGATCCCACCTCTCCTGTCATCATTCCACCACAGACATGTTGGCTGTCCAGCCTATGTTGTTGCACAGGGGTACAAAAGGCCAAGTGGGTAGTCAGTAGGAGGTGTGCTGTCTCCATTGCTTTATCATGAAACTTAGAAACGAAAGGTCCTTTTGGTTCAGATGAGCAAAGTATTTCCATACTGTAGACACGGTATGAGTTCCTAAAGACGACAGACACTAGACAGGCATCAGTATGACTAGAGCTATGGCCCAGAACTGATTAGCATCCGAAGAAACCAAACTGTTTGCTCCTTCAATGAGTAGACACTTATTGAATCCATGGGGTTAAGTTGTAGCAGAAGTTACTTCTCAAATCACAAGTGGCAGGTCCCCTTCCAGACTTTGCAACATTGATACCATGTTCCTCTGTCTCCTTTCAGATGATAACGGCCTGAATCCCGTGTGGACCTCTGTTCAGCAGCTGGCAATGTTTGAGATCCACGAGCCAAACTTAGCTTTCCTGAGGTTTGCCGTGTATGAAGAAGATATGTTCAGTGACCCCAACTTTTTAGCTCAAAATACTTTTCCTATTAAAGGATTAAAAACAGGTACAAACCTATATCACACGAGTGTTGGCTACATCAATGTTGTGTGATTATCCTCCAATGACCATCTGAAAGCTTCTTAGGTAACTTGGGATACAGAGTGTTTAAGTGAGATAGAATGGGTAAGTATCTATTGGTCTCTGTTTTCCTGTTACACCAGGACAGGAAGTGAGGGCAGATGTCCATGCTTGGGGCATGGAGAGCAAGAATAGGACTAGACTGGGTAAGGGGTATCCCTCTGTCAGGCTTATAGTAGTGTCTGAGATGATCTGCATCTACAGGCTGCACTGGAAGTGTCTGGGGTGTTCAGGTGCAGTGTCATGTGTGGCAGGAGGCAGGGCGGTTCAGAGTCGGGTGCAGTGGTAGGGGTGCTGGGTGGTAGGGAGATTCAGAGTCAGGGGTGCAGTGGTAGGGGTGCTGGGTGGTAAGGAGGTTCAGAGTTAGGGGTGTAGTGGTAGGGGTGCTGGGTGGTACTGAGGTTCAGAATCGGGAGTGCAGTGTCATAGGTGCGGTGTGGCAGGGAGGTTCAGAGTCAGGGGTGAAGTGGTAGGGGTGCTGGGTGGTATGGAAGTTCAGAGTCAGGGGTGCTGGGTGGCAGGGAGGTTCAGAGTCAGGGGTGCTGGGTGGCAGGGAGGTTCAGAGTCAGGGGTGCAGTGGTAGGGGTGCTGGGTGGTAAGGAGGTTCAGAGTCAGGGGTGCAGTGGTAGGGGTGCTGGGTGGTACTGAGGTTCAGAATTTTTTGTGCTGGGTGGCAGGGAGGTTCAGCGTCAGAGGTGCTGGGTGGCATGGAGGTTCAGAGTAAGGGGTGCAGTGGTAGGGGTGCTGGGTGGTAAGGAGGTTCAGAGTCAGGGGTGCAGTGGTAGGGGTGCTGGGTGGTACTGAGGTTCAGAATTGGGAGTGCAGTGTCATGGGTGCGGCGTGGTGGGGAGGTTCAAGAGTTGGGAGTGAAGTGATAGGGGTGCTGGGTGGTAGGAATGTTCAGTCAGGGGTGCAGTGGAAGGGGTGCTGGGGGGTAAGGAGGTTCAGAGTCAGGGGTGCAGTGGTAGGGGTGCTGGGTGGTAAGGAGGTTCAGAGTCAGGGGTGCTGGGTGGTAAGGAGGTTCAAAGTCAGGGGTGCAGTGGTAGGGATGCTGGGTGGCAAGGAGGTTCAGAGTCAGGGGTGCTGTGTGGTAAGAAGGTTCAGAGTCAGGGGTGCAGTTGTAGGGGTGCTGGGAGGCAGGGAGGTTCAGAGTCAAAATTAAACAAATATGGCTTCCTTGTATGGGGGGTGCTCTGTACATGGTTAGCGTAGATAACTCCCCCAGAAATGTCACTTTCTGCACACGTGATTGGTTCATTGCTGATCATGTGACTGTAGCAGAAAGACCCTCCCACTCAGGAAGTAGGATGTGAGTGGAATCCATGTGTGAGTATCAATACAAACAGCGGCAGGTAGTGCAAGGAATTTTAATACAATCCTAGCAATGTGTAACTGACCAGAGGAGGATTGTTTTGGACTTAATAATGTGTGGAATTGATTGAATTTAGGACACATGGCTAAATATTCAGCTGGAATGCAAATATATATATAGGGGTAGTGTTACCTGTCAAAGGATTTGTATTTCTGTCCATCCGGCTCTGAGATGTACACAACTCTGCCACACAGAGCTTTCTGGTAGGGCTAGACACCTGATTTTTCTCTGCTGCGGTTAAGTAACACTTAGAGGTCTTGTTCCTCCCCCAGCCTGGGACTGGACAGTGAAAGGAGAATCAGCAGGCGGATGAGAACATCTCTCAATCGCTCTGCTCTCTCTTCCCATCAAACATACGTCTTGCACTACAGCACAGCTCATTGACTCCTTGTGCTGGTTCTGCCTCTCCCAGTCTGAACTCTGCTGTACAGTAGACTGCAAGAGGCCGATACCAGGTCAGATTTCGGCACTTGCTCTGATTGCATGTAAAACAAAGACATGAAATTATGTATTCATGAATACGGAGCTGCAATCATTTTTGTTTTTATGTCTTCCTGGAATTCAGCTTTGGACCTATATTTCATCAGTGACGGCATCTTGTAAGACATGGCAGGAAAGATAAATGGAGTCATACAGAGTTAGAAGGAATAGAGAGAATAGGGTCATAGAAAATAATCATTCCAATCATGTCTTTTAGGATATCGATCGGTTCCCCTGAAAAATGGTTATGGTGAAAATATGGAGTTAGCTTCACTTCTGGTCCATTGCCAAATAAAGAAAGATCTGGTGAGTACTCCATACAAAGAATTATATTTTCATGGATGGCTGTGCAAGGTGGGGCCTCTTCTTTGGAGGGACATTATACTGGACCCGTTATCAGATCTGTTAAAGTCATCTTAAAGGAGAACTATGAGGTGAGTGCTTTTCACTCGCCTCATAGTTCTAGCCGACCTGTGACAGTCTCATTGTCACAGGTCGACTAGAACTATGAGGTGAGTGCTTTTCACTCGCCTCATAGTTCTAGCCGACCTGTGACAGTCTCATTGTCACAGGTCGACTAGAACTATGAGGTGAGTGCTTTTCACTCGCCTCATAGTTCTAGCCGACCTGTGACAGTCTCATTGTCACAGGTCGACTAGAACTATGAGGTGAGTGCTTTTCACTCGCCTCATAGTTCTAGCCGACCTGTGACAGTCTCATTGTCACAGGTCGACTAGAACTATGAGGTGAGTGAAAAGCACTCACCTCATAGTTCTCCTTTAAAGTCAAAAGGTTTTTAATCTATTTCAAATGATCCTTGATGTGTAAAGGTTTAAGCTTACTGCAAAAATCAGCTGCTGCCCCTGATATCCTGTTTTAGGGTGACTCCTTCCCCTTGCAGGGTCCTACAGAGCCACCCTTGTGTGTGCGAGTAAGCTGTGTGTGTGTCCACAAACACACAGACACAGCAAGGCAAGGCACTCCCCTCCTCCTTACTCCCCACCCCCTTCCCTACTCCCCCCCCCCTCTCCAAGCTAGTAGGCGGACAGCTGCTGGAGACTGCTCTGTCCCTTGTGATCATGTACTCAACAGGAAGTTAAGGGAAGTGGAGCTGAGAGATTTGGAACAGTTTGGAAACAGGATGGCTATAAGCGATTGGGCAAAACATTAAAGAAATACTTTGCTGGGCAATGTATATGCATGTGATCTGGAATCATTGTTGTAAGAAAGATTGAGAGTCTAATACTACTTTTTATTGCTCTCTGTTCCCTATTGGGGAGATTTCCCTTCACTGACTGGCAGATAGTCAGAAAAGGAAATGAGACGAAGAGAGAGGGAAATCCTTGGAGGTCAGCACTTTTATTTACCTGATCCCCATAGCCCTGCATTATATGAGAAAATACCGTGGGACAGTGGGGAAGAGGCTGTGGGAGTGGGGATTAGGTAATAAAAGTACTTTATAAGTTGGAGCAGGGGGGAGAGCGGCGAGCGGTCAATACCAGGGAAGTGGGGATCAGGTAAGTAAAAGTGCTTTACAAGGCGGAGTGGAGGGGAGAGGGGTGGGCACCCAATTCCGGGGGAGTGGGGATCAGGAAATGAGAAGAAGAGAGAGGGAAATCTATGGTGGTCAGTACTTTTACTTACCTGATCCCCATAGCCCTGCATTATAGGTGAGAATACGGAGGTACAGTGACTGCCGGAGCGGAGGGGGAAGAGGCTGAGGGGGCCAGTCTTTTTCCCTGCGGGAGCGGGGATCAGGTAAGTAGAAGTACTTTAGAAGTTGGAGCAGGGGGAGAGCGGTGAGCGGCCAATACCAGGGAAGTGGGGATCAAGTAAGTAAAAGTGCTTTACAAGTAGGAGTGAAGGGAAGAGAGGTGGGCTGCCAATACGGGGTGAGCGGGGATTAGGTAAGTAAAAGTGCTTTACAAGTTGTAGCGGAGGGAAGAGAGGTGAGCAGCCAATGCCGGGGGAGTGGGGATCAGGTAAGTAAAAGTGCTTTACAAGTAGGAGCGGAGGGAAGAGAGGTGGGCGACCAATATCGGGGGAGCGGGGATCAGGTAAGTAAAAGTGCTTTACAAGTAGGAGTGAAGGGAAGAGAGGTGGGCGACCAATATTGGGGGAGCAGGGATCAGCTAAGTAAAAGTGCTTTACAAGTTGTAGTGGAGGGAAGAGGAGTGGGCAGCCAATTCCGGGGGAGTGGGGATCAGGTAAGTAAAAGTGCTTTACAAGTAGGAGTGGAGGGAAGAGAGGTGGGCGGCCAATACCAGGGCAGCGGGGATCAGGTAATTAAAAGTGCTTTACAAGTTGGAGCAGAAGAGAGAGGGGTAGGCACCCAATGCTGGGGGAGCGGGGATCAGGTAAGTGAAAGTGCTTTACAAGTTAGAGCAGAAGGGAGAAGGTTGGTACCCAATGCTGGGAGAGTGGGGATCAGGTAAGTAAAAAAGAGGGAAGAGAAGTGGGCTGCGAACAATACCGGGGTAGCCCTATTGGAAGGGTAGAGGGAGATAGGCTTTAAAGGCTCTTCCTACAGTTAAATTGTCTGCATGCTTTTGGTATGACATAGTCAGATCACGTGATCAATGCCCTCACAATGGTCCTAACCGTCGTCTCATTCCAGCACGGTGATCCAGCGCAATCAGCCTGAGCCAAATATGAGTTGATACAGTCATAATTCGCCTATAGTCTTCCAGACATTATCTCCTCCCAGGCAGCCATTAATCTTCCTCAACGCCTTTCCGAAATTTCCCAAACAAGACGTTTTCATCCCGTAGGAGGAGGCTCTCCAAACGTTTGCCCCGCTCTACAGCAGAGCGTGAAATTTTTTTACAGCCGTTACAGATCCAGACTCCCTGCCAATGTAATCTGAATGCAAAAATTAAAACCCGATCAGAGCCTCCATCCATCTGTTCTGTGACTTGAGAACTCCTCAATAAGCGCTTATAATTTAATAGTGGGCCTGCTTTGATAAAAAGCACATCTGCAGGCACTTCGATGGGAAATGCGAGATGATAACGGGCCTACAGATGGCTCTGCTCTAGAATTTTCCGGGTCTCCGCAACACAGAGCTGTTTAAGACACTAAGTAAGCCTAAATTACACTTCTGATTATGTTGTCAGTTAGGAAAATTGAGTCATTTTTAAAGAATATCTTTTTTTTTTTTCTCGTGATATTGGGCAAGCTTTTATTTTATTCGGTGACTGCTGCAAGCAGCGTCTCTGTAATCGTCGGCTCAAAAGCGTCATGAAGACAATTGAGTGCAGCGGAAAAAAAAAAGTCTTGGTCGCTTTGAGCTTTGTCAGCAAAACCTAATTATCATTTGAGAGAGAGAGAAAAAAGTTACAATCCCAGTGGCAAAAAACACGCTTTTGTAGTTCCCGGGGATCTCAATGCTGTTCGCTCAGACCGGGATTTTATTTTTAGCTGCTGTGTGTGTGTGACTGCTCCCCCACCGCATGGAAAGTACACCAAAGGGATGCTAGGCTGAGGATACAATTCCAGTCCTAAGGGAGAGTTCATACCGAATCATGTACAGTATAGATTCATGTGGTTATAGTATCTGGCGTGTATAGTTGGGTTTGCATGAGACTGCTGCCACTAGATGGAGCTAAGGAGCATAGGAAACTCCTATGCTCCTCAGCACCACCTGGTGGCGGTAGAGCTGGGCGAATGGCATTCACCCAGCTCTACGCTGGAGGGAAGATTTATAAATCAGCCCCCTCGATCTGCTCTCTCATCAGTAGCTGTCAGAACCATGTGTTTGCATGACACTGCCGCCACTAGATGGAGCTAAAGAGCATAGGAAACCCCTAAGCTCTTCAGCGCCACCTAGTGGCAGCAGGGCTGTGTGAACGGCATTCACCCAGCTGTACGCTGGAGGGAAGATTTCTAAAGCAGCCCCCTCGATCTGCTCTCTCATCAGTAGCTGTCAGAACCATGGGTTTGCATGACACTGTCGCCACTAGGTGGAGCTAAGGAGCATAGGAAACCCCTTATGCTCCTCAGCGCCACTTAGTGGCAGCAGGGCTGTGTGAACGGCATTCGCCCAGCTGTACGCTGGAGGGAAGATTTCTAAATCAGCCCCCTCGATCTGCTCTCTCATCAGTAGCTGTCAGGACCAGTAATATAATGAATAAGGTAATAGGTAATTAACTCAGAGGAACGCACAAAATTGCAGTTTCTATGGAATGGCTATTTTTAGACTAGTCTGGATTTGACAATTTTATCCAGTTACAAAGTAACCTAGTAAGTATTGGCTTGGCTTCCTGTAAATTGTTATTCTTCTCAGCGCCATCTAGTGGCTGTATGACTGCGACCGGCATTTACCCAGCTACACACTGGGCAGAAAGTTTAGAAATCACCCCCTTGGTGTCTGTGACCCCAATCTCTGTGTCATGATAATTGACATCAAGGTTACAAAGGCAGACCCCTCCTGTAAGAGTTATCATGGGGAAAAAGGTGTCACAAATGAAGCTTTATCACCAATCCTTGTTTCCACGACAACCCAACATTTTCAAAATCCAATTGTCACAGGGACAGAAAGTGAGGTGAAATCTTCTGAACAGGGGCACACACAGCAAAACAAACTTTACAGGGGGTTAACCCTTCCCTATGCTATCCAAAACAAGAAAAAATGTACCTGTTCCAACTTACATACAATTTCAGCTTAAGAACAAACCTACAGTCCCTATCTTGTTCGTAACCCGGGGATTGTGTGTACTCTGTAACAATGTGGGGACCCCAGAAATGTATCTGAGCTCCTGTTGTACACCAGGAATATAGAAGGCGGGTGTTGGCTGTTTGTAGATAATCATGTCATCACTGTCCCTTTAGGGAAATGAAGAAGGCTTGTATACTTCCTCCGGAGATCTTCGGCGGCGAGGAGTCCATAATCCCGAGGTAGCTTTGTACGACACACATGACAACATGAGAGTTCCTAACCGAGAAGCCATGGGGCGGCAGCCAATGAATGACACCAGGACAATCCCGGACCCCGTTGCTAGGAGGTACGTCTACACAATATCTCATTCCCGACTTCTCTCATGTGAGCCTAAAAAAGTGACTCAATGCAAACAAAAGCAACCAAGTTTATGGTGTATGCTGCAGTCTTATGGTACCCACCAACTTCAGACACTACCAGTGCTGGGATCTACTCACCAGATTTCTGGGCTCTGCCCCCCACTCTTTGCAGTCTCATTCCTTTTGATGCATTCTCTGAGATGTATTACAGAAAGACTGAGAATCTCTTGTGGTGGATGGAGCTGGGAATTCAGGGATAGAGATCATGTAGCTGGAAACCCTGAGGGTTGACAAATAAATGGTGGGTGATACCATTAATTGGCCTCTACTCAAAACTGAAATCTTGGATTGTTTTTTGGAAATGGAAAATCCCAATCCAGGTATTGTATAACATCCAGCGGCCTGTACACCTTAAAGTGATGCTGTTGCTAAGATCAACGAAGATATGGAATACTCACCACTCTTGCTGCCCATCTCCACTGTAGTGAAGGGAAACCACCGGCTAAAGAATCTTCAGACTCCCACATACTTCCAGGAGTGCTGATTTCCTGGTCCCTTGGTTGGATTCACTGGCCCCTTCATCACTACTGTGTATTGTAGTGACGTAGCAGCCAACAGACGGAACCACAGAGTGCCGCAGGTGACCGGGACCAGGAAATCAATGCTTCCAGAAGTATCAAGTTCTGACGGTTTCTCTTTACTACAGCAAAATTCAGTGGCTTGGGTAGCAGGAGATGTGAGAATTCCATGTATTCTTTGAGGGAACACTTTCACACATTGATTGACAGAGTGGCTCTAAGATGATGGTGACCACTCATTTTAACCGTTCCTGGAGCATGCTGGGCTGTGGGGATCCTATGGGTTTTTCACGCATGTTTTAGTTGGTGGTGGTGACTCATCTTCACAGGTATCCTACTGATACGGTGTACCAGTAGGACCCTTTGCACTTCTATAGATGCCTTTATTGTGGTCACATTCCTCCTTTGTTTTCTGGTGTTGTGGTTGCATAACTATGTCCTAGCTGGTGGTGGCAATTCGGTTCTCACCTTTCCTTTTGCACTTGGTTCTCAAAAGAGGTTGGTGTCTGTCTGTGGTTGTTGGCAAATTTCACTTTCAGTGTTCTCTTACGCTAACCGAGGGCTCGTTCACATCACAATGCATGCTTTAAAGTACATGTAAACCTTTTCGTTTTCTAGGGCCCAGGTGCATTTTTTTTTAACCTAAATACTTTTTACTTTTTGCAGCATCTTTGCACACACTTCCTGCCTACATGCACTCCAGCAATGGCTGCAGTATGTTTTTAGGGTTGGTTTCCTGATGGTGCCAGTAGTGGACTATGCTTGTGTAATGTGTGTTATAATGGTCACTTGTAGTCTCCATGGCAGGATCATGTGACTGGGTGACAACACAGAAGCACAATCAGCAGCTTTATCACCTTGTAACAGGACGTGCCTGGATAAGGACCTTCATGGCAGGATCATGTGACTGGGTGACAACACAGAAGCACAATCAGGAGCGTTATCACCCTGTAACAGGAAGTGCCTGGACAAAATCCTTCATGGCAGGATCAGCAATGATTATTTTAATGAAAGCTGCAGATTTTCAAATACTGAAAATTACTTTTTAAATAACATTAACATAATAAAGCATATAGGAGATTATGGTGGCCGGGTTTACATAGACTTTAATGCATGGCGTGTTGTCATATGTTGACGTGCGTTACATTTTTGTAAGATTCAACTTTAATGGATATTATGAACAGCAAGGTAAACGCACCCAAAATGCAGCAAAAAGGAAGTTCTGCTTTTGCAAATCACAACAATGCAGCTCATCAGTGGGAACAGATTCCATTGAAGACAATGGGCCAGACAAACTAAGCTTGGCGGTTGCTGAGGAATTGGACACGTGACATCTTGGCAGCGCATATAGTTTATTTGGCACTTAGCGGAATACGAAACCGCCTTGCGCCATCATCCTCTTGGCCCGCTACCGCACACCTCTATTGCGCCACATAATGATAAATTCAGTTTCTGAGCCGTTATTTAATTGGCTCAGATTTTGTTTTATTTGTTAAGTTGCCACTTTAGTTGTAACCTTCAAATTGAATGCTTTGGTGCATCAAAAATAGCAGCTTATGGTTTATCTGGCCCAATGACTTTTCCGATGGCCGTGTATTTTACCGACACTACAGAAAAATAAAGGCAGACAGAATCTGGAGCCGTCTCCCATGGTAACCAATCAGCTTCTAGCTTTAATTTTCAAAGACTAACTGGACAAGCTGAAGAGGGAAGCTGATTGGTTACTATGCAGAGCTGCTCCAGCTTTAGTAAATTCCTCCCCAATGCAGCTGGTAAGGACAAGCCCTCCCAGACTTCAGAGAAAGCACAACAACAACGATAATGAGATATGGAAATGAATAGGGGATAAAGGGAATCTAAAGAATATTTGTGGGTTTTAAAGCCTAATTCCAGCCAAAACTTTTTGTCTTTGTAGTTTTGGATAGAATGGGAACAAGATCAGGACCTCTATCAGATTTTCTATACGGTCCATGTCCTTACTAAAGCTGAACTCTGTGCAGATATGAAAGATACAAATGATTGCAGCTCAGTATTCATCAATACATCAGTAAACATTTTTTAATGCAGGCAGTGTAAGTACAGTGGTACCTCGGTTCGCAAACAGGAAGTTCAGCAAAATTTTGCTTCCGTTCACGAACTCCGCATCAGGTGACGAACACAACCGCAGCCATCTTCCCCGCTCTGACGCTGGTCGTGGCTTCCTCTAGTCAAGATCGCGGTCTGGTCACAGTTTGATTCGATTTGCGACCAATTCGGTTCGCAACCAGAATCGTGGAACGAATTAAGTTTGTGAACCGAGGTACCACTGTACCTGAAATTACCAGCCTTTTGCTTTCCCTGCCGAGCAGAACTAAGAGAGGGTGAGGAATCAGTATAACAGGCTGGGGATGGAGAGATGACCAAACTGTATGGCTTAACTGCAGTGAATAAAAGTCAGGTCACTGGGCTCACTGTGCTACCTGGCAGGGCCATGTATCCCAGGACTAGCTGGACAAAATTGTAATCTTTGGGAGGTAAAACTCCCCCCATGAATGTATGGCAACTGTGTATATAGCTGTTTGCCTGGAGTTCAGCTTTAACCCTCAATGTGGTCATAGGCATGCAGATCAGGACACATAGTGGCAGGAAGATGGATTTCGAACTTGGAAATGACCAAGACAATCTAAAACCCAAAAAAGTCAGACTTCATGGACAACGGTTAATACACTATATGGCCAAAAGTTTCTGGACATCTCACCATCACCATATGAAGATGACCAAACAGTATATGGCCACCTGTCCAAGTTCAAGTGTTTCCAGTGAACTGATGAGGCTACCGCATACCAAGACATTTTACAGAATTGTACCATTCCAACTTTTTCGGTGAAGGCCCTTTACTGTTCTGACATGACTGTGTCCCTGTGTACAAAGCTATCTTCAAAAATACATGATTTGATAAATCCAGTGTGGAGGAACTCGAGTGTCCTGCACCTCAACCCTACTGAACACCTTTGGGATGAATTAGAATGCTGATCGTGAGCCCGGTCATCTCATCCAATATTAGTACCTGAACCCACAAATGTTCTTTCAGCTGAATAAGAAAAATGAAGGATGTTATAGCTACAAAGAGGGACCAACTCAAAAGGTTGAACTTGATGGACCTGTGTCTTTATTCAACCTCAAATACTATGTAACTATACACTGAGTGGCCAGTTTATTATGACCACCTGACGTTTGTAGGCAAATTAGCTATAATTAGCTTTAATTTCGCGCTGAAGTTGCTAGAGGGCCAGACCATTATAAATAGGGAAGCAGGTTGTTTACCACGACAGTAGAAGTGATTCTGAAGATACGGGTAAACAACGCAATTTAACAGCCTTTGAACGTGGGATTATTGTTGGCGCTCGGAGCCTTGGAGCGAGTATCAGCAAAACAGCAGAATTCGTTAAATGTTCAAGAGGGGCTCATTGTTAAAGTGTTTAAAGACCGGACTGTCAGCCGAAAATCTGGGTCTGAACGTGCGAATTGTGGCCGTCAGCCACTAGTCAATGTTAGGGCAGAATGGAGAGTGGCAAGACTGGTACAAGTCAACAGAAGGGCAACAGTGCCGTGTCAGATTCCTCGCATCACCTTTCAACATCTTGTGGAGTCACGAGGCGGCCCAACGAAGTCATCTCGTGGAGTTATCTTGTGCCCCAACAAAGTACTGATGAGATGGTTATAATAATCGGGCCACTCAGTGTATAACTCCATAGTAATGTCCAAGGTTTAAAATAGGTTGTCCAACAATCTCATATAGGTGTGATGGTCACGAGTCTACAAACTTTTAGCCATATAGTATATGTCTATTCCATCACTATCACCTACAGTATATAGTGTATAACTGTTGGCTTTGAAAGGCATGGAAGCCAAACAGCCTAATGTTATCCAGCAATGTATTAACATTCTCCATATCAGACTAGCCTCAACGCCATTCTAATCCTCTGTCTCTTATTATCTCTACCCTTCGTTATCCCTTGGAATATGGAGAGACATTTATTAGAAAGTCGGTTTGCTCGGAATAAAATCATTCACTGTGAATCTAATTAATATGCAGCTGTGTTTTGTTTGAAGACAAAAAAAAGAGGATTGTGGAAAAGAACATTTCAAAGCATTGTAACATCACTTTTTTAGAATCACTCCTTATCTCTCTCTTATTGCAGACCAGGGCACCGCAAGTACAGCCATCAAAATCTGCTTGATTACTAAGGTAATTGACACCTAAGACAGATCCGTGCTCTGGGTAAAACTGGGGAAGTTAGCGGAGGGGATTTTTCCATGTACCGTAGAATTAATTTGCCTACAAATTGGAACCCTCCAGGTAGTAAGTCCTTACACACAGATATGCTTATTGGTTGATCCATAGAGCCAGATTTCCCCAGCACAGGTGAAATGTAAAACTGAAACTCTTGAGTCCATGGTCAAACAAAGAACACAAATTCCAAGGAAGACATGGGACCGTTCATCAAAACATAGCAACTAATCCTGGAATGGAGGGGTGTTCTATCTCAACTCTCTGGGCTCCCAACATGACAGGAGACTCTTTCTATTTTGCTTGGTCTGTATGAACCAACTGTTACTTATTACATATCAAGCTAGCCCTTTAGACACCACCATGTTCTGACCAGCAACCTCTCCTGTTGCAGATGCTTACAGTACTTGGTTTTTGACTTTCAGAAAAGTTAAGGCAAAGAAAGACCCCTATTACATCTCATAATGCAAGTTGAGACTTTGGAAACCTATTGGGAGATATCCCATAATGTCTTTATGGCATGTGGTGGAGGTGTTTCTTACCACTGACTTTTCCTAAAGTCATTATATGCTTTAGATGCCTCAATCTGCAGCAGGTTGTGCCAGTTCTTCTATGCAAAGGTTAGTGGTATATGTAAAAAACTTATGACCAGCATACTAATAATTAAGTGGTAGTAAAAAAGAAGCAAAGCCAATAATAATGACACGGCTAATGGCTAACAGAATGATATGGTGGCTGCAGGTGGTGGAAGCTGGCTTGCCTGTATGATTTCTGGGCTTACTTTATGGTGAAATGTGTGTGGCAGTTTAGGTGAATCTCAGGGTAAAGCTCATTTGAACTTAGAAGTACCAAATGAGTCTCAGGGTAAAGATCCTTTGAGCATCTTTAGAAGTACCAAATGCTTCTTAAGGTAAATTCCTTTGAGCTTAAAGGTACCAAATGAGTCTCATGGTAAATATCCATTGAGCTTAGAAGTACCAAATGAGTCTCAGGGTAAAGATCCCTTGAGCTTAGAAGTTTCAAATGAGTCTCAGGGTAAAGATCCACTGAGCTTGGAAGTACCAAATGAGTCTCAGGGTAAAGATCCTTTGAGCTTGGAAGTGCCAAATGAGCCTCAGGGTAAAGATCCTTTTTGATGTTTTATGAAGGTAACTCTTTGAGGTTCCCCTGGGAGGTGTACCTAGGCATGACCAACTGGGATAAAGGTCAAGAGTAAACCCAAACATCCCAACAGTATTATATCTCAGAGCTAGATTGAAAAACGGTGTCCCTGACTCTTTTAGGACTCCAAGGTCATTCCAGGTAAAGGAATACAATATTTAATTTATGAACAGATTCTTGTAGGCTTGCGTAGATTCTTAAGGTGTAACATATTACATGGGGACTCACCACAGACATCATTATTACAGTATATATTTTATGTGTTTTGCTCATTGAACATGATTGCTGTTTTTGCCTTCTTTTGAGCCCCAAGTGCAAATTAAATAAAAATAACAACCAACACTGGAACAAGAAATGATTAGTTATTACAGAAGGTTTCTTGATATACCAGGGCCATTAAACCTCTGGGACAGATGTGACCTAATGAGTGCACTCATGGATCAGCTAGTGCCAAGATAAACTGTATCTTTTCAACATGTCAACACGCTTTTATTCATTATATATTTGGATAGCATTTGGTAGCATTAGAATCTCTGACTTTTTTTCTTGTGCTGTTTGTTGATCCCGCAGGTAAGATTCAAACTCTCTGACCATTGTCACCGGAACATAAAGTGATAGGAACTCCAGAATATTATCAAAATGTCACCAGTCTTTTAACAAATTCCTT